TTCTTGCAAAATTTAAAAAATGCTAGAATTAGAATTAGATGGATGAAAAAGTAACTTCAGAAAGGTGTTAAATGGAGTAATAACAGTGTTGTAACTGATGTTAATATTATTTAATTCTCTCATGTCCAGTTGTCTCTGTTGCCTACAAAGGTACCAATTAAAGCAGAAGGACCTTCTAAGAGAACAAATTAGATTTTTTTCTTTTCCTTCTTGAAAGCTGTTTTTTTTCCTGTCCTGCTTTAGAAGGGTTGTAGTACTTTGCTCCCATCTGAGCCTGAACATTGCCCATTTCCTGTTGCCCATCCTTTTGCCCACTCTTAATGACTGGTTCCAGGTCATCTACCCCTTCCCAAAGCCCCAGCCCCTTCTGACTTATTTCTGGTTCTTCAGCCTCTTCCTGAGCCATCTTTTTCCTACTTTCATCTTTTGCTTTGATTCTGTGACAGAGGCATGCATAGGACGGGGCCTGTCTGGTGGGAATGGCTTGCTGAATGAGGTTCCATGTTCTGAGTTTGTGCACACGCAGCACAAACTCCATGAGCTGATCCATGTCACCCGTGATGTTCAGACTGGCCTATATAATGTCAGCCAGCTCTTCCTCAGAACCTCTGTATATCTTTTAAAAGCTTGGATGTCCTCCTCCAATATGTCTCCCAATCCTGGGCTTGGTGAAGACAGCCATGTCCTTGTCCACTATTCCCTGCTCCTGGCACATTACCCTCTAGTCTTTGCCACATAAAATGGAATAGTCTTTTCTGAGGAACTGGAGGTGGTGGTGGTGTCCTCCTTGTCACCCTTGCCCACCCAGTCTGGATGTACGTGTTGGACCACTTTGTGGAGAAGGGTCATGGCTGCATGCTGCCCTGAAAGGTTAAAGGTTGGCAAGGCTGAGTATTTCCTTGATGGCTGCAGCAGAGCCCTGCTGGGCAAGGGCCCAGAGCGAACCACAGCTGAAATTGAAGACTTTTTGAGGGAGGGGAATTTGTTCATCTGTCTCTATCTGTGGCACAGAATTATAATTACATAATAGTGAATGGTGATTATAATGCTCCTTTGAAAGTTAAGTTGGAGCCCTGGCCGGTTTGGCTCAGCGGTTAGAGCGTCGGCCTGCGGTCCAGAGAGACCCAGGTTCGGTTCCCGCTAAGGGCACGTACCTTGGTTGCAGTTTGTTCCCGGCCCTGGTTGGTCGTGCAGGTGGCAGACACTCGATGTGTCCCTTTCACGTCGATGTTTCTCTCTCTTCCTCTTTCTCCCTCCCACTCTGTCTGAACAAAAAAATGGAAAAATGTCCATGGGTGAGGATAAAAAAAAAAAAAAGAAAGTTAAGTTAGACATTGAGAAGGGAAGTTAAACCTAAAATTGTATTCTTTTAAAAATAATCTGTGCAATATTTTATGATAAATAAATTTAGTCTATGTTGAGCTGAAGAAGGGAACAAAATTATGAAGGTAGAATTTCACAATGTAAAGGTAGAAGAATATCTTTAGGGGTTATATTTGACATGGCTTTTCCTTTGTATAAATAAAAAATGCTCATAAATTTGATTGGCTTTGGTTAATTTGTCAGTGAAAAGGGGTGCTACATGTAAGTCTGTAGACTCATTTTTGACACTTTAATGTTTAACCATAATCCAGTCTCTTTTTTTATAGAATTTGATTCTTTTTTTTCTTTTTAAACTTATCTTTATTGTTGAATGTATTACAGATGTCCCTCTCCTCCCCTACTCATTGACCCCCTCCTCCTTTCTCCTCCTGCCCTCTTGCCTTTGCCACACTATTGTCTGTGTCCCTTGGTTATGCATACATGCATATATGTTATTTGGTTTATCTCTTCCTGTCCCTCCTCCCTCATTCCCTTTGAAGGTGTTAGTCTAACAACCAATTTGTACTTCTTAATTCCTTCAACTTTTTATCCACCACCCCAACCCCCTCCCATCTGGCAACAAAAAGTTCTCTTTATCTATGAGTCTGTTTCTGTTTGTTTGTAGATTCAATTGTTGATAGATATGTATTGCCATTTTATTGTTCATATTTTTGTTGTTGTTCTCCTTCAAGAAGACCATCATTTTATATGATACTACTGGTTTGGTGATGATGAACTCCTTTAGTTTTTTCTTGTCTAGGAAACTCTTTATATGTCCATCAATTCTAAATGATAGCTTTGCAGGACAGAGTAATCTTGGTTATAGGTCATTACCTTTCAACACTTGAAATATTTCTTGTCCTTCTGGTCTGCAAAGTTTCTTTTGAGAAAACGGCCAACAGTCTTATGGGAGCTCTGTTGTAGGTAACTGACTGCTTTTCTCTTGCTGTTTTTAAGATTCTTTCTTTGTCTTTAACCTTTAGCATTTTGATGATGATGATGTCTTGGTGTGGGCCTCTTGGGGTTCATCTTGTTTGGGACTCTCTGTGCTTCCTGGACTTGTATGTCTGTTTCCTTCACCAAGTTAGGGAAGTTTTCTGTCACTATTTTTCCAAATAGGTTCTCAATTTCTTGCTCCCTCTCTTCTCTTTCTGGCACCCCCATGGTATGAATGTGTTATGCTTGAAGTTGACCCAGAGACTCCTTATACTATCCTCACGTTTTTGGATTTTTTTTTCATTTTGCTGTTCTGATTGGGTGTGTTTTGCTTCTTTATAACCAAATTGATGGTTAGCTTCTTGGCTTTACCTACTCTACTAGTGGTTCCCTATAAATTATTCTTTATTTCAGTTGGTGCATTCTTTATGTCTGACTGATTCTTTTTTATGCTCTTGAAGTCTTCACTAGGTTCCTTCTCACTAAGTTCCTTGAGCATCCTTATACCCAGTGTTTTGAACTCTGCATCTGTTAGATTGCTTATTCCATTTTGTTTAGTTCTATTCCTGGAGTTTTGTTCTGTTCTTTCATTTGGGACATGTTTCTTTGTCTCCTCATTTGGCTGCCTCCCTGTGTTTGTTTCTATGTATTAGGTAGAGTTACTATGTTTTCTTGACTTTGTAGGGTGGCCTGTTATAGTGGGTGTCCTGTAGGATCCAGTGGCACAGCCTCCCTGGTCAGCCCAGCTGGGTCCACGAGCTGTACCCCTCGTGTGGGCCGCACACCCTTCTGTTGTAATTGTGTCTTGATTGCTGTTGGCACATCAAAGGGAGGGATTTACTCAGGCTGATCAGCTGCAAGGACTGGCTGTGCCCACTGACCTCCAGCCTCTGACTACCTTAGAGGGTTAGTTGTGCAGGGGCCAACCACACAGAGCAAGACTTACTTCAGCAGAGCAAGACTTACTTCAGCAGAGCTGGTAGCCATTTCTTGAGTGTGTCTTTTGTGGTGGTTGGGTGGTGGTGCTTTGATGTGGTCTGGGTGTGCTGGCTCTGGGGGCAAGGTCTGCCACTACCTGTGGCCACCAGGCATAAGTTACAAAGTGATCTGCAGATGGCTGCTGCTTGTGCTGGACTTGGAGGTGCTCAGGCAAAGCCAAGCTGTGAACCAAGGCTGGCTGTTTCTAGTGCCAGGCTTGGGGCCAGTTAGCTAGAGGTATGGGTCTTACTGAGGCCAAGATGCTGTTTGTTTGAGAGAACTTAGGAAAATCTGAAGCAGGAGCCAAGAGAGGCCAATCCTATGGTAAAGCCACTGGAAACAGCTTGTGTGGGGCCTGAAAGTTGGGTGGGGCAGGACCTCAGGGAATCACCAGGGTGGGGCCACAGTGTAACCCAGGTTGTTGGAGTCCTAGATGTGGTGCCTGTCTGCTGGGCCCGTGGGGGAAGGGCTCACCAAAGGAACAAGGGCTTCTACCAACATGTGTGTCTGGGGGAAAAGCTGCCTCTCCCCGATGACCAAACAACTCAGTTCTTCCCAGTGTGTCTCTGGTGCCTTTCAAGCTGCCTTCCCCACACTGGGGCCTGGAGGGAGTGTCTGAGTAAGTCTGTGCGTGGGTTCTTTAAGAGGAACTGCTTGGACTTCAGCAGACTCAGCCTCAATCCCGCTGGTTTTTTCAGCCAGAAGTTATGGGGATTCTCTTCCTTGCACTGGAACCCTGAGCTGGGAGCCTGGTGTGGGACAGGGACCCCTCACTCCTAAGGGCGGACCTTTTCAACCGAGGCGTCCCTCCTGATTTTTATCCACCACAAGTGTGTGTAGGACCAGCCCATTCATGCCTCTGCCCCTCCTACCAGTCTTGGTGGGGCTGCTTCTTTAATTTCGTAGTTGTAGGACTTCCATTCAGCTTTTAGGCGGTTCTGAATGATGGTTCTGTAGTTTAGTTGTAATTTTGATGTGGTTGTGGGAGAAGGCGAGACAATGTTTACCTATACTGCCATCTTGACCAGAGAGCCACAATCCAGTCTCATATAGCTCAGTTAAGTGTTTGTCTTTAATTAGAGGATCAAAGACCAAAAAACAAGCAATAAAGCATTCTGTATTGATATCTAAGGGTCCCTCTCACTCCAGATGTTCTATAATTCCTGATCTGGAAGTCTTTCTGTTGAAGTGAATATATGTACCAGTCATTTAGTAACTTCCATAGAACGCCAATTAAAAATCTTTGCTATCTCAGTTCTTATCATGATGTTTATAAATGGTCTTCTGTGGATAAAAAAAAAAGTCTGTAAGCATACTTGAAAAATAATGCAGTTAGCTGTAATAAGAATTCAGTTCATGCCCTGGCCAGTTTGGCTCAGCGGTTAGAGCGTCGACCTGCGGTCCGGAGAGACCCGGGTTCGGTTCCCGCTAAGGGCACGTACTTCGGTTGCAGTTTGTCCCCGGCCCTGGTTGGTCGTGCGGGTGGCAGCCACTCGATGTGTCCCTTTCACATCGATGTTTCTCTCTCTCTCTCTCCCTCCCACTCTATCTGTACAAAAAATGGAAAAATGTCCTCAGGTGAGGATTTAAAAAAAAAAAAAGAATTCAGTTCTTTGATAAGAAGACAATCTCACATATTTTTCGGCCATCTCAAATAGTACACTTAGTAGTAGGTTCCTCACTATGTATTGATTCATGAGCCAACGACAATGATGTCTTTTTAGGGTCCTGATGAAGAAGCTGTTGTGGATCTTGGCAAAACCAGCTCAACTGTGAACACCAAGTTTGAGAAAGAAGAACTAGAAAGTAAGTTTGTTTACAGTCACTTACGCTTAGCAGGATAAATTACTAGTGAATGTTAGTGCCCTTTAAGTTGTGCCTACAATTTGTTGAAGTATTTTTTTGTTGTTGTGAGGTAGAGCATACACAGAGAGGGGTATTTGATTATGTTTTCTAAATATAATTTAAAGAGTAATACAGCAAACGCTCATGGAACCACTACCTCTATCTTCAGATAGAACATTCCTAGATTGTTTACTCTTTGTTGAAAGTATTGGTATAACAGATTCTATAACACCAACTTCTCTAATGGTTACCATTACTGAACTTGGAAAATTGAAATGCCACAGTCACAAAATCAGGTCATACTTTTATTTTTTTTATTTCCAGCAGGTTGGGTAATTTGTATTATGAGCAAACCAGAGTACCAGACCAATAAAAGCCACAGTTATTACTAGTTGTCATCTAAATGTTCATTTTATAGGTCTGTTACATCAGCCTTTTAAAATGCTGCCATAACCTCAGCATAGAATTGTGGAGCAAATGAATTATTTGCCAATCTTTTTTCCCTAAGCAAAAAAAGGGTTTCTTTTTTTTCTCCTTTTTTTATTTCTTTTGAAATAAATTTAGATTTATAGAAGAGTAAATAAATTTAGATTTGTGAAGATAGTACAGTGTTCCTGTATACCCTTTGCCCAGCTTTTTGTGTTAATATTTTACATAACCAGCATAAGTTTACAAAAATGAAGAAATTACCATTGGAATGATTCTGTTAACTAAACTACAGATTTTATTCAGATTTCACCTTTTTTTTTCCCCCCCATTTATGTCCTCTTTCTGTTCCAGGATCCAGTTGAATGGTTTAGACTCCAATAGTGCATTTAATTTTCATATCTCCTTAGTCTCATCTAATCTGTAACAGTTTTTCCAGTCTTTCCTTGTTTCTCATGACCTTGACTTTTTTGAAGAGTAGTGGTTACTTTGTAGAATGTCTTGAAGTTTGGGTTTGTCTCATGTTATCATATGAATAGTCCAGGTTTGTGGGTGTTTGGGGAACATACAACAGAAGTGACAAACTCTTCTCAGTGTATCATATCTGTGGACATAAGATATCAACTTGACTTAATGGTGGTGATGTTAACCTTGAACACTTGGTTAAGGTGGGTCTTTTTAAGAACACATTGTTAAGTTAAACTCTTTTGTGAAAACTGGTATCATATTGGGGCCATTGATCTGTTGCTTGTAAAAAGGAGATGGGAAAAAAAACTCCCTGTCTCTTAAATTCGACTTTTATAGTGTAGACTTACTAAGTCTTCTAGAAAGAACCTCAGTGACCTACAGGGTTGTGGTTTAGATTCTGTGAATTACAGAACTACGGAAGTTAAAGTTTTTAGCAGTAAATTTATTAATTCAAATGTATAGTGGCACATTTAATTCATCACTTAGCATTTAATGTAATCCCTCAAATATATGTGACCTAGAACAGGAAGATAGACATTTGACTATGTTCCTTGGCTTCCCTCAGTTACCCCAAGGCCTCTTAACTTTGCATACTTTGTACATATCTAAACTTCAGTACCAAGTTTGAAGGAGAGATTAAATTTATCTCAGAGTTTGACTAAATAGGCCTTTGATGAAAAGCAAAGGTGAAAGAAAAATGAGAGAACAATTATAACAGAGAACACTCAGGGGGCAATAATAAAAATAGAAAAAAGCAACAACAACCATAAGGCTTAAGTTTTCAATCTTTGACTTCTAGCATATTCTTACTTATTTTGTCTAAATTGAAAATGCATAAATTATTTATTTATTTCGAAATGGCTAACTCATAAAATTTATTTTTGTTTTGGAGCATAGGGGCTTGTGTGCCAAAACCCATTAGTACTGATTGGGGTAATTACTTTTTCGTTTCCAATGAGCAGTGATGAGAATTTGACTCTTTGATTTCCACTTTCCTTTGGTGTTCAGAAGAAAATAATTTCACTAAAATAATATTGTAGGATCACTTTGCATAGAGGTTTTTTTTTTCATTTTTCTTGAGAGATAATTCACATAAGATTCATCATTTTGAAGTGTGAAACTGATTGTTTTTTTAGTATATTCACTATGTTGTACAACCATCACTGCTCAGTGATTCCAGATCTCTCTCATCATTCCAAAAAGAAACCATTTATAATTGGTTTTTAAGTTTGGGATTTTTCCGGTAAAATACTTTAAAATAATTGATATTTAATTTCTACACTTATTTATCTAGTGCTTACCATGAACTAGGTAGAGTAGTAGGTACTGGGCGATGTTTAAATAATTTTAATTTAATATGTTTCTGTAGGGCTGGTATCATTTAGTTTAAAAGGTGATTATTGCCCTGGCTGGTTTGGCTCAGCAGTTAGAGCATTGGCCCATGGACCAGAGAGTCCCGGCTTCGGTTCCTGCTAAGGGCATGTACCTCGGTTGCAGTTTGTCCCTGGCCCCGGTTGGGGTCGTGTGGGTGGCAGCCACTTGATGTGTTTCATGTTGATGTTTCTCTCTCTCTTCTTCCCACCTCCCTCCCTCCCGCTCTGTCTGAAGAAAAATGCAAAAAAAATGTCCTCAGGTGAGGATAAAAGGTGATTATTTACTTTACTGACATTAATATATGGGCAACTGAAACAAGAAATCTTAGTGTCACCTGTTTTCAGGCTGAGCTGGGAACATGTGTTTGGACAGCTCAGTTTTTTTTCTGCTTCAGGCATGTTTGTAAATGACTGCAAAATCTCCATGAGTTTGGGATTACAGATAAATTTTATCAAGTTGTCAAATTTGCAAATACAGAATCCATGAATAATCAGGACTGACTGTACTTTCAAATCTCATCTAAAGATGAAGATCTTGAATTTCTTGGGGTACTTATTTTTGGACCATCTTATGAAATTTGTTAGGAAAGGAATGACATTATCTTTCATATTTCAGTATATTATTTTTTTATATTACTTTTTGTACATAAAGGCAAAAAACAAAACAAAAAACAGCTCTATGCCAGATGGTTTTTGCCTAGTTGCAAATTACTTAAAAACTTGTAGTCCATGACTCCTATCACTCAACACAGCTTAAGGTAGGAGCCTCATGAAAACTAAGAAATCAATTTCATGGTGCTTGGTATTTGACACAGTACTGCTAGCTGTCTAGCTCCCTAATTTAGTTTTATTTAGTGGGCAGTAGCAGATATTGCCTTTCATAACCATTCTGTTGGTCAGAATGCAGACTCAGGATGATGCAACATGAACAGTAGCTTTTTCTATTTGAAAAGTATGATAACCATATTGTATGGTTGGTTTTCCCAATCTGATATTTTCCATCCTTTAATTGGAGTATTTGAATCATTTACATTTAATTTAGCCCTCAGTAATTTGGACTTGGATGGCTTGAGATTTTAAAAACTTTTTTTTTAAAATCCTCACCCGAGGATATTTTTCTATTTTCCACTCTTCAGATAGAGTGGATAGGATGGGAGGGGGAGAGAGAGAGAGAGAGAGAAGCATCAATGTGAGAGACACTTTGATTGGTTGCCTCCCGTATAGCCTCTACCAGGGCTGGAGAACTTAACCACAACCAAGGTCCATGTCCTCATGTCCTTTACCAGAATCGAACCTGCGACTCGGTGGGCCAACGCTCCAGCTGCTGAGCCAAACCAGCCAGGGCCAAAATGTCTTTTTAGACTTGCAAACTAATGCTTACACAAGTATCCTGTGTATCTAGTGTATTTATCAGTCAGGGATATTAGCTCTTGGTGTAACATTTTGTGTAGTGCTCTATAAAATAAGAGAAGTAACAGGAGACTAGGTTTTTTAACTATATGAACTTATATGTAATTTTTTTTTTTTATCCTCACCTGAGGACATTTTTCCATTTATCTTTAGACAGATTGGGAGGGAGGAAGAGAGGGAGGGAGGGGGGGGGAGAGAGAGAGAAACATCGATGTGAGAGAGACACATCAACTGACTGCCTCCTGCCTGACCCCGGCCAGGGCCGGAGACGAACCGCAACCGAGGTACGTGCCCTTGACCAGAATCGAACACAGGTCTCATTGGTCTGCAGGCCGACACTCTAACCGCTGAGCTAGACAGGCCAGGGCTGTAATTCTCTTTTATCAAAGTAAATCTTGATATACTTTTGTGCACATGACTTTTGGAAAACTGGTAATATTTTTTTGAACCTTTTGCTAGGTCATCGAGCTGTATACATTGGTGTTCACGTCCCATTTAGTAAAGAGAGTCGTCGACGTCATAAGCATCGTGGACACAAGCATCACCACCGGAGAAGAAAAGATAAAGAATCAGATAAAGAAGATGGACGGGAATCTCCTTCTTATGGTAAACAAAGCAGTACTTCTCCATCAACAGCTTAAAGTTCTTTACTAGAAAGTTTTTATTTTTAAAAATTGAATATTTTCTCTTTAAAATTGTATGTCTGCAATAATTTAGGTACGTCATGTACATAGAAGAGTACTAATTTAGGTAAGATTTTTTTTTCTACAAGAAAAGTACTTAGTTTATAAGTTAAGATCTACTTGGGGTAAATGAGAAAAGTAACGGGCTTTGTTTTTGTTGTATTCTAGCCACTGGATTTTTTAAAATATATTTTATTGATTTTTTTAGAGAGGAAAGGAGAGAGAGAGAGAAAAACATCTATGTGAGAGAGAAACATCGATTGGCTGCCTCCTGCATGCCCCCTACTGGGGATGGAGCCTACAACGTGGGCATGTGCCCTGACCTGGAATGGAGCCGGGACCTCTCAATCCATGGGACGACGCTCAGTCCACTGAGTCATACCTGCCGGGTCAGCCATTGAATTTTTAAAGTTGAGTTTTGGCACTTAAATTTCAATTTAGTAGGGTTTTATTTACCTTTCTCTGTTATATATTTTATTATATACACAGGCAATGAACAAATATTGAATTCTCAGGCTCCTGAAAGAGATTGAATATTTAATTTAATTTTTTAAGCATTTTGGCCATAAGATCTTACCCACTAAGCTGGATTACTTGGTTATCTAAGCAAAAAAGAGAGCACTGATTTGATAGTATGGTTTATAGGACAGGATTTTGTTTGAAAGTAGACAAATATAGAAGTACCAATAGAGGAAATGATAAAAAAAAAAAGGCATACAGTAGAGGAAAGAGAATGGTATCTGATAATGTCAATAGTGCTGATTTAAGTGGTCCTGAGAGGTGGGAAAGGTAAATTGCATTTAGTTGACATATAGGGAGTCATTGGTTTTTTTAGGACATCAGCCCACCTGGCCCTCTTTACACTAGTGTGTGTGCGCGTGCATTCCAGCAAAGCTCTGCATTACTACAGGCACTTGTGTGCTATAGTAGAAGAATGTTTTTGTGAAGAAGTAAAGAGGGAAAGAATTACTGTGTATAATATAGCTACAATATGAACATAAGAAAGAAAATCCTGATGGTCTAGGAAAATATTAAGTGCCAGTTCTGTGCTAAGCATTGCACCAAGTCCTTGACATATACTTTCATATTTATGCTTCTCTGTATTTTTTAAAAGATGGGTATTATTGTTTTCATTCTACAGATGGAGAAACTTTAGCTTAGACCAGCAAAAAGGTGGGCTAAACAACCTGTATTAAAAGATACTGATAGCCCAGTAAAATGTTAAGTGGTTGTATAGCTAGCAAAGGAAAAAGATCACTAGTGAACTTTGATGATATTAAGTAATTTAGAAGTATTTTGCTGTCCCATGTCATGTATCCATTCAGTTTAGGATGTCTTAGGCAATTCTGTGAGTGGATCAGTGTGTCTGTAATTCATACAAAAAGGCACACAATATTTTTATAGAAATACTATTGACTTAACTGTAAGTATGTTTATATGTTCACTTGGGTAGGTGATTTGATGTTTCAAACTAAGTTATGATATTTGAAGTCTAAATACAGTGGTTTGGAAATAAATTTGGTGGAGGAAATATTTGTGACTTCTTAATGGAATAGCTATCCCTAGAAAAGTTTTATGCCACCGAAGTTGGTTTATTTTGGTTTTAACTGCCCAGTATGTATCCTAAAAATTGCTATGAATAAAGTCCCTTCATTCTTTCCTCCACTCTTGAAAAAGAGATTATAGAGGACTTTTGCTTCTGGACATGATGGAATAACAAGAATTGAATTTGGCCTTCCATTTTAAACAGAAAAATGGATGAAATATACGAAACAGTATTTTTGAGACATTGTACAAACACCACAGGTCTCTGACCTCTGAGAGAGGAGAGGCATGTTAGTTGAGCTCTGTGGTGGTTTGAACTTACTGCCTAGAGACAGTTTCCAGGCCATGGCACAGGGAGGAGAATCTGAACAGAGCCTGGCAGGTTCTTAGAGTTGTAGAGACAGACTGGAATTTGGGGAGGCTGAAGAAGCTGGAATTTGAGGTGTAGAGTACGAAAGTAGAGAGCTACACACAGTGGTTTCCAAAGTTTGGAAAAAGGGTCCTTTTGAATCTTTGGCTGAGTACTGATCTGGGCCAAAGGAAACTACCCAAGGCCTGGCAAACACCACCAGAAAGCAGGAGGCAAAACAAGTTCTGGAATTCACACAAGGCTGGGAATAGGGTGTGTTTTTACCCTTGTGACATACAATGCATTGGGTAGAGTTCATAGTAGGGTATTACCTTAATAGTGGGCCTTAATTAGTTTTACACTAACGACTGCTGTAAAAAAATTTTTTAAAACAGGTGTTGAAAGAATTAAACTAATTTCAAGTATCTACATGCCCAGAACAAAGTATAGCACCACTGAAAGAAAAGTAATAAAATCCAGCGCCTGACTATGTAAAATTTACAATATAGGACATTCTCAAATTATTTAAAATAAAAAGTAAAAAAAAAGACACAACCAAGAGAAAAATAAATGAATAAATAAAAACTCCCAGAAATGACAGAATCAGTGGAATTAGAAAATAAACATGTTAAATAAACTGTAATAAAGATGTTTGTATATTCAAGAGGATAGAGGAAAATATGACCATGATGAGGAGAGAAATTGAAAATATAAGAAAATCTTGATGGAACTTCTAGAGATGAAAAGTACAATTGCTGAAATGAAAAATATACTTGGTAAGATTCACAGAATATTTGACAATGCAGAAAAAAAAAAAGAGTGATTTTGAAGACGTAGTGATAGAAACTATCCAAGACTAAAGAGAAGGAAAAAGACTGAAAATGAATAAACAGAGCATCACGAATGTAGGACAAATTATAATTGGAGTGCCAGAAAGGAGGGTGCTAGAAAAAATATTAAAGAAATAATAGTTGAAAACTTTCCAAATTTAATGAAAACTTTGAACTCACAGGTCCAGGTGGCTCAATAAAACCCAAGGAAAAGAAACAAGAAAAGAATGACACAAAGGCACATAAAATCAAATTGCTGAAATCAAGATGTAATAATCCTAAATGTGTATGCTTGTATTAACAGTTTAAAGTACATGAAGCAAAAACTGATAAAATTCAAAAACAACAGAGATAAATTCTCAATTATAGTTGGAGATTTCAACTCTTCTTTCCCAGTTTACAGAAAAAAACAGTAAGGACATATAATACCTGAATAACACTATCAGATTGACATTGACATTTACAGAATAGTCCCCAACAAGAGCAGAATACACATTCTTTACAAATGGAAATGGAACATATACCAAGATAGATCATATTTTAGGTTGTAAAACAAGTGTTAATGCATTTCAAAGGACTGAAGGATGTTCTCTGACCACAATAGAATTAAACTAAGAAGATCTCAAGAAAAATCCCCAGATATTTAGAAATTAAACAAGGTGCTTCTCAATAACTCACAAGTTAAATAAACCAGTCATAATGGAAATTAAGAAATATTTGAACTTATGAAAATAAAAACACAGTATAGCAGTAACTGGGATAAAATCATGCAATGTGAGGACATGCTTCTGAAATACACAGGTTTTATTTAGCATAGTATTGTGCAAAACTGCCTACATACTGAATTTTTATTTTTTAGTCTACACCAGAGGATATTTTTCCATTGATTTTCAGATGGAGTAGGAGGAAGGGAAGGAGAGAAAGAGAGAAACATTGATATGAGAGAGACACATCTATTGCTTGCCTCCTGCATGACCCTGACCAGGGCCGGGGATCAAACCTTCAACCAAGGCATGTGTCCTTGACCAGAATTGAACCCACGACTCTTTAGTTTGCGGGCCGTTGATCTAACAGTTGAGTCAAACTGACCAGGGCTACATATTGAAATTTGTTATGTGCAGCTAAAGCAGTGCTTAGGGGAAAATTTATAGCATTTGATCCTTATAAGAAAAGAAGAAAGATTTTACATCAGTGATTTCAGCTCTTAAGAAACCAAGGGGAAAAAAAGAGCAAGTTAAACCAAAGTAAGGAAAAGAAAGGAAACAACAGGACCAAAGCAGAAATGAATAAAATAAAAATTAGAAAAACAATAGCAAAACTCATTCAGACTGCAATCTGATTATTTGAAAAGATTAATAAAAATGATAAACCTAACTAGACTGATCAGGAAAAATTAAAATAATACAGATTACCAGCACCAGAAATTAATTTAGTACAAATGCTACAGACATTGTTATGATTGATTTCATGCCAACAACATTGATAATGTAGATGAAGTGGGGAAGGTCCTTAAGAATACAAGCTACTAAGCAGAAATGGATAACCTGGATTACCCTGTATGTTTAAAGAAATTGAATTATAGTCTGAAGTGTTCCCACAATGAAAATTTACTTCCAAATGGCATCATGGATTCAATTAAATCAAATATGTAAGGAAGAAAGTACACAGTCTCTGCCAAAAACTGAGGATGAGGGAACGCTTCCTAATTCATTTTAGGAACCCAGAAGTACCCTGATACCAAAACCAGATGTTACAAGAGAATCAAACTACAGACTAAATATTTCTCATAAATAAAAACAAATTCAGCAATTTTTTTTTTTTTTATCCTCACCCGAGGACATTTTTCCATTTTTTGTTCAGATAGAGCGGGAGGGAGAGAGAGGGAGAGAGAGAGAGAAACATCGATGTGAAGGGACACATCGAGTGGCTGCCACCCGCACGACCAACCAGGACCGGGGACAAACTGTAACTGAGGTACGTGCCCTTAGCGGGAACCGAACCCGGGTCTCTCTGTACCGCAGGCCGACGCTCCAACCGCTGAGCCAAATCGGCCAGGGCATATTCAGCAATTTTTAAAAAGGATACTACATCATGATTGTGGTGGGCTGAATAATGTCCTCCCTAAATGTCTGTATTTCTAATGCTTGGAACCTGTGAAAATTAACCTTATGTGCAAACCTGAATTTATAGATATGATTAAGTTAAGGATTTGGAGAAGGGGAGATTATACTGGATTATGCAGGTGGGCCTGATGTAATCACAGAGGTCACTTGTAAGAGGGAGTCAAAATCATAGTGACGCCCAGCCAGAGTGGCTCAGTGGTTGAGCATCGACCCATGCACCAAGAGGTTGTTGGTTCGATTCCTGGTCAGGGCACATGCCCAGGTTGTGGGCCCAGTCCCCGGCGGGGGGCATGCAGGTGGCGGCCAATCATTGTTCTCTCTCATCGATGTTTCCGTCTCTCTCTCCCTCTCCCTTCATTTCTCTCTAAAAATCAACAAAGAAAAAAAGATCAGAGTGACTATAATTGATGTGACTATAAAAATAAGTGGTTGTGGTGGTAAGAGGAAAAGATCCAGACCCAAAGAGTATAGGCAGCTTCCAGAAGCTAGAAAACGTAAGGAAATGGATTTTTTTTTTTCTTAAAGCACCCAGAAGGAACCAGCTCCATGATTTTAGCCCTGTAATGGATTTTGGACTTCTGGCCTCCCAAGAACTATAAGAGAATACATTTGTGTTGTGTAAGCCACTACCTTTGTGGTGTTTTGTTAACAGCAATTGGAAATTAATCCAGTGACAAGTGGAAATTCAAGTTTGGTGTAAAATTTAAACATCTATCAATGTAAGCAATCCCATTAATAGTATAAAGGAGAAAAAACATATAATGATCTCAATAGATGCAGAAAAAGATTTTTAAAACATTTTAGCCCCCGCCCTCCCATTCATGATAAGACTCTCAGCTAATTAGGAATAGAGGAATACTTCCTCAGCATGATAAAGAGCATCTACAAAAAAATCCCTGGTCAACATCACACTTAGTATTACAGTGTTTTCATAATAAAAGACTGAATGCTTTCTCCTTATAATTTGGAAAAATGCAAGAATGTCCTGTGTAGCCACTTCTATACAATGTGGCACTGGAGCACCTAGCTAATGTAATGAGACAAGAAAGAACATAAAGGTGTAAAGATTGCAAAGAAGGAGTAAAATTGTCTTTATTCATAGACACAGGGTCATATATGTAGCAAATCCAAAGTAATCTATGAAACTATAGAACTAAGTGAGTTTATTAGCAAGCTTGTAGGATAGAAAATCAATTATATTTCTGTATCTTTGCAATGAACAATTAGAAATTGAAGTTTAAAAAATACCATTTTCAGCAGCACCAAAAATTTTACTTGAGGATAAATCTGACAAAAACACAAGACCTAAATTTTGACAGGTTCAAAATTTTAAGAAGTTCAATCACAGTGTGTGTTTGCCCTGCATAGATCTCAGGGTATGCCTTCAATATGCAGAACAATGTCATATACATTCTGGAAAATTTTCAGTTATGTTTTTCTCTTGCTTTTCCCCCTGTCTTTTATATTGTCCTTTTTCTAGAGTTTTTCCTGTTCAACTTTCTTATTCTGTTCTCTGCATCTCTTCACCTTTTGTGTGTTTTTGTCGTCTTCTTTGTCATTGATGCCTTCTGTATGATCTACCTCAGATCTACCTTTTTCTTTAATAATTACTTCGAATTTACTTTTAACTTGTTCTAATATCTGTTTGTTGCATCTATAAGTGCATGAAAGTTTGTTTACTTCAGTGTAAATTTTGAATTTGAGCTCATCTCTCTTGTTCACCAGAATTTGAATGTGTCTTTAATTGATGCTTATCATTGTTTCCTAGTTTGTTTCAACTGTCCTGGACTAGAATTTATGCTATTTTCTCTCTTTGGGGATCCTATACCGCCTAGTTGAAATTCAGATGCTATGAGTGAGGTGTTTATTTCTTACAGTGACTATCCTTCCTCCTTAACCTCAGCTGACAGAGTTGGGCTCCTCCATAGTAGTAGGAAAAGTTAGTTTCTGTGTACCTCTAGTTTGGGTTTTCTCATATTTTTTGGGACTGGGTGATTTTCTTTTTTTTTTTTTGCTCTTGAACTTAGTTACATATTAATTACATTTTTTTAATGTTCTCTTTTATTTAACATTTTCACATACTTTTAATGAGGAGAAAGTCCTGTCTTTGTATTCCCTGTTTTTAGATATTGCTTTTTAAAATTTATTTGTTTTTATATCAGTTTGTTACAAGATTAGTCTTGTTTATTTTTAACACATAATTTTTTCTTCCATCTATGGTTATGATCTTCCTGTGTACTCTTTTCTTTCTGTATTGTTGCTCCTGTTTCCTTCCAGGATTATAGTATTTTAATAATCAAAGAGTTCTGATGGAATATATTTTATAACCAAAGGATTTCACTTTCAAATCTGAATTTAATCTTTGAATGAATTGGGAAAAAATTTGAATGTATTTAAATTCTTATTTTGTCAAGACACACCATCCCAGAGGGTTCAGTTCATCCTTGGTACCGAAGATGATGATGAAGAGCACATTCCGCACGATCTCTTCACAGAAATGGATGAGCTGTGTTACAGAGACGGAGAAGAGTACGAATGGAAAGAAACTGCCAGGTAGTAAAGACTAGGTCTCAGTGTTTCATTGGCTATGTGATTTCTTTTTGTAATGAGAATATAAAATTCAAATTATTAGATACCTGGTGCTTTTAAACAGTGAGCGGAGAATTTCCTTGTGTCTGAATATTATGTTTAGTTTCTCTCTTTATTTTCAAAATGTGTTTCCTTAAAATTTAACATAGCATTCTTACTACTTTAACGTGACTCAAAAAGAGTTAGTTATGTTACCGATTTTCATAAGTCCTTAATTAGAGAAACACATTTGAAAATCAAAATCTTGGATATTTTAAGTTTAAAAGAAGATTAGAAGTGGGAACTACAAAGTGCCATCATTTGCTTTTGCAGACTTATTATTGTACCAGCTTAGAATAGAAGAACTGCAAAGATTACTTGTGAATAATAGGTACTATAGGCCATTAACCTAATTTTTAAAAATGTGTTTGTAGCCAAATTTTGTTTTGGTGGTGGTGGTTCTTGTTTCTCTTTAAAAGAACAAGCTTACATTTATCATATTAAAATAAGCCAGTGAAACTGTTATTATTTATTAAACATTTGTATATACTATACATTTCAGGTGGCTGAAATTTGAAGAGGATGTTGAAGATGGTGGTGACCGGTGGAGTAAACCCTATGTGGCAACTCTCTCTTTGCACAGTCTTTTTGAACTTAGAAGTTGCATCCTTAATGGAACCGTCATGCTGGATATGCGAGCAGGCACTCTTGATGAAATAGCAGGTGATAGCAAATTGACACTTTTATACTTAAGTTGTATTGAAATTAGAGATTCGGAAATAAAGTAGAATTTTTAGGCCATTGATTTAGCAGCTATATGTTGAGCTTTCGTTCAGTGCAGGGCAGTGTGAGGAGTAGACATATAAAAACACTTTTTGCCTCTAGAAGTTTGGAGTCTAGAAGATTAAATTAGGTATAACTACAATATCAAGAAGGAAGTGATTAGTGCCCTAAGCCAGATATAGAGCTTATTTTCTGGAAACGCAGAGGAAAGAGCTTTTTTGTTTCTTTGTTTTCTGAACCAAGGTATCTGGGGAAGATCTACAGAATACATTACCTGTACAACTTACAAAATTTGAACATGTGGGAACAAGGAGCAGTTAATATAAGAGAAAAGAAAGTATTCTAAGGAGGATGAGGAGAAGGAAGAAAAGTCTAGAAAGTATAGACAGGTGTGAATTTCAGGAAAGTTAGTGCGAGTATACAGATTTCTTGCATAATAATTGGAGACATCTTTGGAAAATAAATTTGGATTGTGACTAACCCTGAATGATGGGGTTAATAAATTGGATTTTATTTGGTACGCATTTTGGCTCTTTAGTGATTTTTAAGTTGGAGAATAGTGAGATCTAACGTGTGCAGGGATATCATTCTGGCAAGAATATGTAGGATGGCTTTGGATTAGGAAGAGGGTAGAAGTTAGACCAATTATTCTGTTGGTATAGTCTAAGCAAGAAATGGTGAAGAACTTTTTAGACAGTAGCAATGGAAATTAAGGATGCTATGGAGATAGAAAGTGGGAAAAAGACAGCTATGATAAAGCTATTTCACCATTAGCTATAGTTGCTCTAAATCAACATTAAGTTCAGTGGTAATGAATTTGATAGTGTGACTACCTTTATAGATTGCTCCCGTGGAAAAGCAAAAAAAAAAAATCTATAGTATTTGATTTAAATTACTAGAATTTCTTAGGCTAGAAATATTTTGTTACTACCAGACTGTTGGATTTGACCACAGGCTGCAAACCTGTAAACTTATCAGTGAAAGATCCTTACTTTTTTGTCTTTATGAAGGAAAATTTAAGTTAGGAATATTGCAGTTTAGACATATATGAATCTTACTTTGGCTTTGCAATGATCACATAATATAGTGTAACTTTTTAATAAATGTTTTGTATAATCCACTGTCACTTGTGTAGTAGCTTGTAGTCATTGTGTTAATATTTTAACCTGCTAGGTTGATCCCTTCCAGTTTATTTTTGGCATAATATTGTAAGTTTGAAAGCTTGACACTTTTATTGCCAATGGCACTACTTAAAAATATTTATATGTACTCCATAAATTTAAAATAGTCCAGTCACCACAGTAATGTATAAAACGGCATCGCCATCCATCCCCCGTTCCCCACACTCTCCTCACAGCCTTATACATCCATCTTCCTAGAACTTAACTACTTCATGATATTTTATCTATTCGTTCATTGGTAGTTCTGCCTCTGGAAGAGTGGGAACAAAAACTAGATCTACTTAGTTGACTGCTGTATTTCCAACACTTAATAGGTATTCAATAAATAGTTAAATGATTAAATGAATCAGTCCAGATATTCATCTACAGTTTTGGGGAAAAGTATGAGGTGAAGCAATAAAATACCTTCACCTTTTAGGAAGCCAATGTTATTGAATATTCAGTTTAATAGAATTTATTGTATCCATATCAGGAAAGCACTTTCAACTATAAGGAGGCTATTACTGTATAACAGTAGCTTCTTTATAAATAATAGTACTTATTAAAATAAGAATTTCTATGTAATTTATTCACTTTTGTTGGATAATGTTCATATTTACCTTTATGCATATATTATTCAATATTAGAAAGGAATAATACTTTCCAGAGCTGTGTAAGAATCTTATTTTCCTAGTATGGTTTCACTTTCAGTTTATTCCATGCTATAGTATTCCAAGTGTTAGTTTGCTTGTTTATTTACTTGTTTATTTTTTCTGTGACTAGATATGGTATTGGACAACATGATAGCCTCTGGCCAGTTGGATGAGTCCATTAGAGAGAATGTCAGAGAAGCGCTGCTGAAGAGACATCATCATCAGAATGAGAAAAGATTCACCAGTCGGATTCCCCTTGTTCGATCTTTTGCAGATATAGGCAAGAAACATTCTGACCCTCACTTGCTTGAAAGGAATGGTGAGATAAGTTGTAGCATCCAATTTTTGCTAACACTTCTATTCTAACAGCATTCTAGTATTGTTACAATTAGCATTTAGGGAAAGAAAGATATTTTTTCCAGATAGTTACATAAGTCATTTCTTTTCTTCTTTATTATTATTTTCAAAAAGTAGTATTATTTGTGTATTCAAAAATGTCATTTCTAAAATGTCTTTCATTACAACATGACAGAATTATCTGGAGAAATCATTTAGATAGAAAACCTCAAGCATTCACTCTGTCAGTACGGCGCATTTAAGTATTGGTGTCTAGCCCTGAATTATTTCTCCTTCCTGCATTTTTATTTCTGTTTAAGAATTCTTGTATAATTGAGAGTCCTAAATTTTGATCTATAAATTTAGTTTAATCTTTTAAAAATTCGAAATCTTAGGTTTGAACCTTATTATCTGTATTCAATTCTTTTTCCAGTGATATATTTTTGGTCTCTTGAATGTATACTTTATTTGCTGGGCATAGACAAGTATTTCTGGGTTGGTTTGCTGATTTCACCTCTCCTTATTTTACGATTTCTGAAAGGTTTTTATGATTGTTTCTGTCTTACACTAGGAGTGACCTAGTCGATGTCCTCCAAACCATTGAGAAGGGCACAGAACTACATTTTTGTACTCTCCACTCTCATTCCCAGTCTAGCAGTGGGTTATATGTGGGATGTGGGGAGACAGTGCCTTTTTAGCCGTTTACCTTTGTCACTATCTTAGGGCTGGAACACTTGGAGGTCTTGCCTTTCCTCTTTTTAAAGCAGAGGATTACATCACTGGGTTCTATTTTGGCTCTCACAGAGCTGATGACAGCGACTCTGGGAAATCCAGGGGCAAAGGGTTAGAGTTGCTTATGAGGGTCACTGTTCCCTCTAGCTGCTACTATTGCTCAAGGCTTGTGAGAATTACAGTGAAGAGGAGTGGAGGATGGGCCACAATGTCTTTCTATCCCTGAAATAATAGTATGGCTTTTAAGTATTCTACAGGCAAACACCTACAGCCATAGGTGATATGGTTTAAAATATACCTAAAGTTGACAGTAGTCATTGTTTGAAGCTCAGTGTGAAATACTTCAGTCTATTTTTTTCTGATCATTTGACTACTAAAACATTTTTTCTTTTTTTTAACTCTTTTTTGTTGTTGTTGACACTATTACAGATATCTCCATTCCCCCACTCGCTTTGTCCACTTCCACCTAGCTTTTCCCCCCAATCCCCACCCCAAGTCTTTAAATCTGTTTTAAATTGTGCCTTTGTACAGTTAAGGAAGCTTAAAAATAAAAGAAATCTCTTAAGATCCTAAGTTTAATTTAAAAGCATGCCACCTACGTCACATTTTGCCTTTCATTTTCATCTTGCACATATTGTGTATTTTCTACTTCCATGAAATGGGTTCATTTACCCAGAGAGACCCTAGTAAATCTTTATTTTTCATATGCAGTGGTTCCAGATTATTCTCCATTTGTAATTTAGTTTCTTTTAATCATAAGACAATGGCTGTTTTCTTTTAGCATGAGAATTGTGTTATTTTGTTGTATTGTATTGTAATTTAATAGTTTTCCTGCATGTAGCTTATTTTAACTATACTGTGGTTGTTTATGGATTGAAGATTAATTATTTTTAATATTTCTGGGATCTCTTATGCATGTAGCTTTGATTAGTTAGACTTAGGTCATGTGGCATTGATTGTTATATTTCTCGTTTTCCTAAAAACAATGGAGTTTCATTAAGGTACACTTCATAGAATAGGTGTTTGAAGTATGAATAGACATTACCTTTTGAAATATGCAAGACTTATTTCATTACTGCTGTTGGTGATAAATACGTTATTCTTATCTAGTTACATTAAAGATTGAACATATTTGTTTAAATTTATTGTCTGTATCACAAATGGAAGCCTATTTTAGGACATTTATTAATATCTTTGAGAGCTCAAGAATACGTATCCTTTAAAATTAATGTATGTTTCTCTCTTTAAAAAATTATTATAACTTGTGTTATGTTTTCACATTTGACTTGGGAACACTATGAATAGGTGATGCACTATTGACTTAACGTTACAAAGTTGGGAATTACTAATAACATTAATGTGTATTTTTCTGGTGAGAGAATTATCTGTAGTGGTTTGGTACAGTGTAGGACAAATAGGCTAAATATATGCTATTAGTGCTGGTAAGTTTTATTTTGGGTTCTATTTCTTAGATTTTTAAAAAATTATGTTCTTATTTCATATTTATCATTTATTTAAGCCCCAACTTTGCATTGACATTTTTCTTTGTTAAAAAGTCAACACTATTGGGCATTCTAATTACTAACAATATTGTCCCCCCACAATCAACATTAATGTTGTTTTTTATTTTTTATTGTTGTTATTACTTTTGGATACACCTTCAGAGAGCCAATTACAGCTTAAGCAATTTTTCAGTGACTTTCTAACATCTGATTGCCATGCTAACCTGACAGCATGGGTTTGAAATGGTGGGTCTTTACAGCTTGCAGTTTACAGTGTAAATTGATTTTTGTGTGTTTCTATTTGCCTTCTGCAGTGAACTTCATCATTTTCCATTTATGTGTTTTATCTCAGGGGAAGGCCTTTCAGCCTCCCGCCACTCTTTGCGAACAGGTCTGTCCGCCTCACACCTTTCACTGAGAGGAGAATCGCCTTTGTCTCTTCTTCTCAGTCATCTTCTTCCTTCTTCAAGAGCTGGAACCCCTGCTGGCTCGAGGTGTACAACTCCCGTACCCACCCCTCAAAACAGCCCTCCTACTAGCCCTAGCATCAGTCGCCTGACCTCCAGAAGTTCCCAACAGAGTCAGCTTCAGGTCCCAGAACTACTGGTTTCTCCTGCCAGTGATGATATTCCCACAGTAGTAATCCATCCGCCAGAGGAAGACTTAGAAGCACCGGAAGGCCAGGAGGAGAAGAATGAGGAAAATGTTGACATAACTCCAGGCAACTATTCACAATCCTCCCTGTGTGGTGCTTTCTGCCTCTGGGTCACGTGCACTTGGAATGCCTTTTAGCACCGAGCTTTTAGCAGCATTTGTAGATGATGCTTACAATTTATTTTGACTTGTGCATGGTATTTTTTTCCTTTATACTATATTCTATCAAAGAACAAAATTATTAAACATTTTAAGTTATAAAATGACTACAAAGAAGACTTACACATGAGTTAAACCCTCCAAAAATTTCCCCTGAGATTTTACAAGTCAAGGCATTTGAATGGTTCAGGGAAACGGAGACGTTTTTCTACCTAATCTTTTAATTTGCCGTGATTTTTAGAAAATGGTGGCTTTTTCTTGTGCATTCATAAGGTGAAGGAACACACTGTACATAAATTATAATGAGGTGAGGTGCCTTTTATGTACTGTTGGGTGATTTTGTCCAAAGAATACAGTATGTTTTCACCTTTTTGACAATCATAGGATCGAATGTTTTTTTTTTTTTCTTACTTTGTCTCTGAGAAGATTGATGTTCCTAATGACTGCCTGGAATCATCATCATTTCAATATCAGTATTATATTTTGGAGTAGATTTTAGTTATCCCTTAGTTCATTAATATATCTGTCTTTAATCCAAATTTACCTGGAACTTTTCCAGACCAGAGTTCCTGTAGTTGTGCCTAGAACGTATTTTTATATGTGAGTTAGAAAAATTATTTCTTAGTGGACAAAAGTTTTGTGACTTAAGGGTTATATATTATGAAAATGTTGGCTCTTTTATATTAATTTTATGTACATCGATACATATTTTTATGCCCAGTTCATATGAAGTATTATTTAGTGACTACTTTACTGACAGGCATCAGTGTGACAAATACAAATACTGACTTGTGTTTTTAATCACATAGTACTCTTACACTTCTCTACAATACTTTTTTTTAATTTAATTTTATTTTTTATCCTCATCCGAGGACATTTTTTGTTCAGATAGAGTGGGAGGGAGAAAGAGGAAGAGAGAGAGAGAGAAACATCGATGTGAAAGGGACACAATCGTGTGGCTGCCACCCACGCGACCAACCAGGGCCGGGGACAAACTGCAACCAAAGTACGCGCCCTTAGCGGGAACCGAACCCGGGTCATTCCGGATCGCAGGCCGATGCTCCAACCACTGAGCCAAACTGGCCAGGGCTACAATACTGATAACATCTAACACTTCATTGGTAGTTTATAGTTATTAAATTAGCCTATTTAATTGGTATAAAAATTCGTTAGGTAGATACAACCATTTTCAGAAACTCAGACTCAGAAAAGTTAGATAATTTCCCCTGGACCATACAAGCTAATCAGTGACAGCACAAATCCTCTGACTGAAAGTCTGCTCCCACCACCATGTGACAAGCCTCTTACTCTCTATTGGCTATATCCAAACATGCTAAATACACTGATTTAAAGCTTGGAGCGTCATCCTGTCTACTGAGAGGTCTTGGTTTGATCCTTGGTCAGGGCACATACTTAGGTTGTGGGTTCAGTCCCTGGTTGGGGCGCTTATGAGAGGAAGCCAGTCGATGTTTCTTTCTCACATCAGTGTTTCTCTCTCTCTCTCTCTCTCTCTCTCTCTCTCTCTCTCTCTCTCTCTCTCAAATCAATCAACATATCCTTGAGTGAGGATTGAAGGGGAAAAGAAAAGATAAAACTCATTATAGTTACCAAAAAATGGTATACTTTTAGAAATAAAAAAAAAAAGTTTTGTGGCTAAATAATTGTAACATTAATTATGATTATAGTGATAGCGATCATTGTTTTATAGTTTGTTCCACACATAGGTATATATGCTTTTCAAATATTATATTTCTAATTCTAATAACTTGATGAGGTTTGTGGTGTTACCCTTATTTAAAAAATGAAGAAAACTAAGACTTAGAGATGTTAAGCTCATACCGTAAATGATCAGAGCAAGGCATTGAACTCAGATCTACCTTTATAATAGAATCTGTATTTGTTTATACCAATATCTCAGTAACACTGAATATTTCTTGTTTTACCAGCTTCTGTGTTCTTAATAATAAGGGACTACAAATTTTATTTAGGAAGGAAGTGACACATGGGTCTCAATGGCTTGTTAGGCCATGGTGTTAAGGGACCAAAGGAGCAATTAACTGAGAAATGAGAAACACAGTTTTTCTCCTCTTCCGCAGTAAGTATGCCATGAGATTGATCAGCCTTTCTAAAGAAAAGGAGTTAGAATGGAAGGAAGAGAGGGAATTTCTAAAGACGAGGAAAAGCTCACAATAATTGTTTAAGAAGACAGCTATGGAGGGTATGTAATGGAAATAATAGGAGCGGCTACATATTATTCTGTTCAAGTACCTTTGGTGTTTAAGGGATATATGGAAACTCTAGTTTTCTTGAAGCCTGATGTTATGTTAGTGGAGGAAGTAGGTGGCCTCAGTATAATTTTGGAGAGACTCATGTCATAGGTATCTGTGTCATGGGCCCTGCTTTGTGCATACCCATAGTAAAAAAGAACGTGGTGTTTCCCATTAATTGTGGGTGTTTTTTTTTTTTGAGAATAATTATATGTAAAAGAGGTAAGCTCATTTCTAGTATTTATAACTATCTTAACTCAGCGATTTTCAACTGTTTCCCCTTAGATTGTCAAATAAGAAAATGACAATAGCCAACACAACAGTAGCTATTCGGTGTATATGCCCTGTCTTGAACCATAAATATATAGGTCATGTAATAGATTTGCATCTTATTGGTTGCATTGCGTGGTATTAGTAGTGGTAGTAGTAGCGGTAGTAGTAGTAGTAGTAGTAGTAGTAGTAAGGTTGCGTCTGATTGGTTAATTCTTGGTACCAGAAATCCTTACATACAAGTATAAGACCTGATTTTTTAAAAAGTCACTTTGGAGCAGAAAATGGTAGGTAGTTACTATTATTATTTTTTATAGTAAGTCAAAGTTATACTTTTTTTTTATCAGATTGGGATTTTTTTTTTTTTTTTTTTGGGTGTGCCACAGAATTTTAGTAATTTATATGTGCCATGAAATGAAAAAGGTTGAAAACCACTACTCTAATTTAAGGTTCCTCAGCCTGAGCGCTGGACTGTTTTGGGCTGGACCCTTCTTTGTTGTGGGGGCCTGTGCTGTGCACTATAGGATGTTCAGCAGCATCCCTGGCCTTCTTCACTAGTGGCCAGCTGCGCTCTCCAGCCGTGTCCACAAAGATGCCTCCAGACATTGCTGCTTTTTTTTTTTTATCCTCACCCGAGGACATTTTTCCATTTTTTTGTACAGATAGAGTGGGAGGGAGGGAGGGAGGGAGGGAGGGGGGGGGAGAGAGAGAGAGAGAGAGAGAGAAACATCGACGTGAAAGGGACACATCGAGGGCCGGGGACAAACTGCAACCGAGGTATATGCCCTTAGAGGGAACCAAACCTGGATCTCTCTAGACTGCAGGCCGGCACTCTAACCACTGAACCAAACCGGCCAGGGCCAGACATTGCTTCTTACGGGGTGTCTCTTGGGGGCAGAATCTTCCCAGGTTATGGACCGCTGCCCCAACCGCTTCTGCTTTCAAACTTTTAATGACAGAAAACTCTGATAACTTCTAACTTTGATTTATCTTTCTCTAGCAGGATTTTTGCATCTCAGTATTGATGGTTGTGTATACACATAACTCATTCCTTTTTAAAAATTTTTCTTAAAGCAAAGAAATGCTGTCTTTTGTGTTATCTGTGCTAATGATAACTTTAATTTGGGGGAATTTACTCATTTAATTCTGAGCACTAAGAATTTATTGTAGGAGTGGGGTGATTTTACTGATTGAGAAAGCGGCTTTAGCTAAGCTGAGGTTGAGGAGGACTACACTGAGAAGAAAGTGGTGGACCATGTATGGGGCATGGCAGTTTTAACAGATTCAGGTTGACCAGGTTAGCTAAGCGACTTCAGGTCATCTCTTCTGGCTTTGACAGTGTCTATCTAGTTCCACGTCACTTCTTGTTCCCGCTCCTACTTGATCCTTACTTTCCCCTGTAACCTTTTCTTTATTCCACATGTCTCTCCAAAATCTGTTTACTGGGACTCTCTTAGGGAACTGTGCGTATGTATTCTTTGGTTATACTTCTACAGACTAGATATTTTTAGTAGTTATAAGTATACATATATGCTCTGTTACACTTGCTGCCAGGGTCTTAATGATATCCTGATATCTGTCACTTTCTTGTGTGGGAGCCAGTGGAAACCGTTGAAAATACTAGTTAACTTTTTTTCCCTCTTGGGCATCTATTTTAGTAAAGGACTCTCTTCTGGAAGTTTAGGGACAAAGGTCAAAGGAGGAATCTTAATGATTTGTCTGTGCTAAGCTAAAATGCTGAAAAATAAGTTAAGTTTTAGGAAATATTTTATTTCAGAATTCTTGAACACTTCCAGAGAATGAGCATGTGGCTAAATAGATTGGAGATGCTTTTTCATATGGAGATTTTAGGGGCCATAGTGACATCCTACTTTCGGTATTTGATAGAGAAGTGGATATCACAAAAGTCTTCTCTCATTGAGTTGAAACAGTAAACCTTAGTTTCAGTAATTAGTAATAGTATGTTATATTCTAGAAAAATGAAAACTTTACGTGCATCAGATATATGTATTGTGCTTAATATACTGGTATTTAATTAGCAGTATTAACCATAAGGTTTATAGAATGTAACCACAAACAGTTTGAGTTCCTGTGGGCCACTAGATTATTGTGTAAGTGGTAAAGTCTGTTGTAATTCAGTCCAGTGCCTTTTCTGCTGTGATACTTAGTGTTCTATATTCTTGAACTAGAAATCTTGGGTGTTTTAAAGAAATGAAATGCATTTAACGGTAGAAATCTGTGATGTACTTTCTGCAAAAGTCATAGTGGTAACAACTGGTCATGTACTACTTGTTAGGTTATTTTATTGTTGTGAGATGGTGCTGCTGACTGTCATCTTGAAATGAGCATACCAGTGCTGGGACATACATCCCTTATCATCCAGACAAGCTAATTTCATACAATATACATCTATCATTTCTGATCCAGACAGGCTAATTTTATGTTTGTCTGGATCTTAGAGGCTGTGTGCATTCCTTCAAGTCACGTAGCTTACAAAGCTGCAGAGTGCTTATTTCAGCACATACCCATTTAATTAAAAATCCCTTCCTCTTTGTATTTATATTATAAAAACCATTGGTACTATATTGTAACATTATATTTTTTTTAGGAATAATGACAGTATGCAGCATGTAAATGTTACCCAACAGAAATGAAAATTCTTGAGGAAGCTATTATGATTATGGAAGATTATGATAAATTTAACCTCTGTTTTAGTTGATGTAGCTGTTAAGATTGTCCTGAGTTACAGTTAGGGTTCACCAGAACATTTATATTGTTACTGATGCAAGCATGCTAAGTGTAGTTAGGCATCATTAACCTCTGCAATTCACATGTCTATTAGATACATTGGATGTGTAATTGCTAAACATTGTAGTAGTACTCAGACTCGGGTCTTCCCTCCTCTGTGCACCTACTCACTTTTTTTTTCTTTTTGCAAAGGCCACCATTTTTGTAAATTCCAGTTATGTTATTTTAAATGTTAAACTGTATAGCTTTATTATTGCTTAAAATATTCTAGTCCTGCTGGTTTGGTACTAACACTTGGCACTGTTTTTTTTTTTCCTTACCTTGCACATTTGCTTTTTAATAAACCATCACTTTCAGGAGATGAGCAGAGTTGGGTTCCAATGTGCATTTTCTCCTTACTAATTTGGAATTTGTTTATTTGTAAACACAGGTATTTTAGCCTCTCCACAATCTGCACCTGGAAACTTGGACAGTAGTAAAAGTGGAGAGATTAAAGGTAATGGAGGTGGAGGCAGCAGAGAAAATAGTACTGTTGATTTCAGCAAGGTAATTTTATCCTTGACTACACATTTTCTTAATCTGTCTTACTGAGAAAACTGTTAGCATTGAGCCTTTCTTAACATTGATTGTAATAATTTTTTAATAGACCGGTGCTTACAAACCTGCATGTGATGCATGTGGTAAGTTAATTTAAGGTCAGAAATTGTGAGAAACATAACAGTCTCAGAGCACTTGAATACTGTATAACTATATTCTACCAGTTTAAAAAGATTACTTGAAGAACATGTTATTTTCATCTGTATCTGCCAAAGATATCATGACACTTGAGTACTTTTTGACTTATAGTCCTTTGTTCTGGAGTTACCACCCCTGGAAACGTGAATTCTGGGAATGATGTTACAGCAGTAGTGAATTAGTAATAAAATTAATTCAGCCTTTGCTCGGCTGTAATGTGATCCCAGAATTACTGTCTTACGGTGTCAGTTCTTTCTGGAATATCCCTGGGAAGCTTGTCGGTGCTTCCCAACAGGCAGGTAAAAGCATGGATTCAAAAACAACTCGCCTGTCTCAATTATAAATTTTTATTTTGGTGGATGAGTATTTAGGTGAAATAGAAAAACAAAACTTATTTCAAAAAAAGGGCAAAAAACTACAAGTTCAAATTATAATTGGATTTTAATGCTATTAATTTGCTACGGGATAGTTTCAACACTTTAATATGTTTGTACCCAGTGTCAGATGTTTAATTAAATGTGATTATTCCAAGTAAGATATATTTCATTTCAGTCTTTTATGATGCAAAGCGTAGACCACGTTCTGTAGAAAAGTAGTTTAAGTGATGATTTGTGCTGTGTAACTTGGCTGTGTTTCGTGCTTTGCAGTGATAAAAAGCCTTGCATATGGGACATTGTACAGAAAGGCTGCTGTTCTTTCACTTCGGTGCTAACTCGATATTTTTACCGATGCTCCTGTTATTTCAGATGAGTGGGAAGTGTTCAGGAGCTAAACTGCGGTTTATTCTTGTTAAGTGAATAAATTAATATAATTTACGTTATAGATCTCCTCTAGACATGGCAGATGCCGTTTATTTTTGTTCCTCTGTCACAGTTTTACTTTTTTTTCACTTGGCCTATCCTTGTGTACACCTCCTTGTCTCCTGTTGGGCAGGAGTCTGCCTCCTGGCACTGTAGTTGTGGCACACTGAGTGTGGGACTCAAGAGGCCCGCTGTAAGTGCTGCTTTCATTTTTAATAGATAGCCCTGTCAGTGGTTGTTTAGTGACTTGTGTGCAACTGTGTATAAATGATGAAGTTCCCATGCTTCGATACTATGTTTGTAACCTTTCCTTTGTAATTATACACAGACAACCAAATTTGATAATACGGCACAACCGTGTGTGTATTACCAGTAATGACTACTTATTTTCGTTTTAAATAAAAATAAAACAAATTTTTTTTCCACTTAGTGAAAATACTGGGGAATGCCCAGAGTTCTTTAAAACAAAAAGGACATACAAAAAAGACAAAGGGATTAATTCATTTCTAAGATTAAACAGTAGATTATCATGAAAGAGTATTTTTTAGCACTGTGTATAATTTTACAAGCCATTGTTAGTTTGTGAACTATATTCTTGTCCTTAATAGTTTTTATGGATAGTGCTATGTTCACTGAAAATTTTCTCTATTTTCTATGTTTGATAATTTAGATCTCTGAAATAGTAAAGTTTATGACAGTGAAAAGAGTTGGGAATACTGTTTCATAGACGTATTTTGCTTGCTTTTTTTTGTATTCATCTTCTCCATCCTTTGTATTTGTGAAAAATTTGGCATTTATGCATTCTTTAGATCACCAGTTCTGATTAGCAAATAATAGTCTTAAAACATCTTTTCTTTCCTGTTTCCCTCTAACTAGTCTTATAAATACTACGCAGATTTTATTTTAAATTATTGTTTATTTGTCAATAGGTTGATATGAATTTCATGAGGAAAATTCCTTCTGGAGCTGAGGCATCCAATGTTCTGGTGGGAGAAGTGGACTTTCTGGAAAGGCCTATCATCGCGTTTGTGCGGCTGGCCCCTGCCGTTCTCCTCTCGGGGCTGACCGAGGTCCCTGTTCCCACCAGGTAAAGAGTGAGTCCTGCTGAACATTCTCGTAGCATGTCCAGAATCTAAGTTTTTTTCCTACTGAAGGAACATGTTCCTTTATGTAGTAAAAGATTGTTTTAATTATTAATATTGTCATTGTACCAAAGGCTTTGATGGAGATAAAATAATAATTTCTCTCTTTTTTAAAATAACTTTTTAAAACTGACTTGAGAGACAGAGAGAGAGAGGGAGAGAGAGAGAGAGAGAGAGAGAGAGAGAGAGAGACATCAGTGTGTGAGAGAGACAGAGAGAGAGAGAGAGAGAGAGAGAGAGAGAGACATCAGTGTGAGAGAGAAACATCGATCGGTTACCTCTTGCATGAGCCCTGACCAGGAATCGAACCCACAACCTTTTGGTATATGGGATGACACTCAGCAGCTGAGCCACAATAGCCAGGTCTGATCTCTCTTTCTGGAACTAACAAAATAAAGCATCCTTTTATTTATTTATTTATTTTTTGTTTTAAATGTTTTTATTTGATTTTTAGAGAGAGAATGAGGGCGAGGGAGAGAGAGAAACATTGATTGGCTGCCTCCTGCATGCCCCCCACTGGTGATGGAGCCTGCAGCCCGGGCATGTACCCTGTGACCCGGAATCGATCCCAGACCTCTCAGTCCACAGGATGATGCTCAGTCCACTAAGCCAAACTGGCTGGGCAAAATAAAGCATTCTTTTAAAAATAATTGCACTGATACCTTTATAAGAAGGTCGGCATCTCAGGAGCTTTGATTTAAAAAATGGTTCATCATAATGGATGTATGATCTGTGCAGGCACTGGAGTTGGAGAAAATGGAGCTGAATCCTTTTCTCTGCCACTTTTGTGGGAGGGTCAAACCTGACTTAAATGTTCTAAGGTTCATTTGTAAAATGAGGATAATAATACCTCATAATGGATTAAATGTGATAATGCCCCTAAATTCGGCAAAATGCTTTGTTCTGACCTGACCAAAATCTTCTGTTCAAAATACGTTCTGAGTAAAGATTAAAATAGGGGTGATATCCATAAGAATAATTAGCATGTTGTATTATAAGGAATAATCAGTTCCTTAGCTTTTGCCTGTATAAATTTAATTCCAAATGAGAATAATTTAAAAATATTTAAAAATTATTCTTATAATAGTAAGTCTGAAGAATTAACTTCAACTTGATTGAAATGTGCATGCCTATTTTCAGTATGCTTTGAAGTTCATTAATGGTATAGTATTATGAAAAATGAGAAAAATAATTCCATTGATTCATATGTACATTCTCATAAAGCAGGGAGGTGAATACTTTCAATTTGAATAAGTATAAGAATTAATATTTTATTGTCATGTTGATAAGGAAATAATTAGGAAGTTAAATACTTTTTATTTAGTCACTGTAATAAATTTTTAAAAAATCAAATAATGTGTGGTTTGATGATAAATTTGGAGTTATAGATAAACATTATTTTTACTTCCAAAGGAATTGGTTCCTTATTTACCATAGTAGAATCTTTCTCCACATTTTATTTTGAGGGATTGTGGATTTTTTTGTGTATACTCTTTAACTGTGTTTTTAGGCAAACCTTTTAAGTACTTCAGTGGAATTGGTATTCACTAATTTCTTTCTTTCTTTTTTTTTTTCTTTTTTTATTTTCCTAACAGACCAGAGAAATTGTTTACTCAAATTCAAAAGGATATAGAAGATGGGAACTTTTAATGTAAAACACTCAATTCCTTAATTACTGTCTTACCCTAAGGAAGATGGGAAGTAATAACTTAGTAGAAAGTTAATTATGAACGCCTTTCTTAGTTCAGTGGTCTGCTTTAGTCTAAGTCGAGTTGCCAGCTTTTCAGTGATTGGTGTAGGAGGATGGTAAAAGTGGTCTAAGTGTTGTTTCTGTACTTCAGTGATATTTTTTTTATTTTTTATGATTTGCTGAGATGTATGTGTGTATGTTGTTTATGTTTAAGTCTGTGTGTTTTAATGTTTTCTTAGGTTTTTGTTTCTGTTACTGGGTCCAGCAGGAAAGGCACCACAATACCATGAAATTGGAAGATCAATAGCCACTCTCATGACGGATGAGGTAATTAAAATACCCTTTGAAGCGGACACTGATTATGAAGCATATCATATCTAAAATCCCTTTGAAGTGGAATCTCAAGTCCTTTTAGACACTGATTATGAGGCATATAATATGTATTAAATTCTAGTCCTCTTTTATAGTGAAGCTTAAAAGATTGTCCTTACTGTTTGTATTATTTTATCTCATAATCATTCTTTTGTAAAATTGAATTTATTGGGGTGACAATGATTAATAAAATTATATAGGTTTTAGGTATATCTCATATACTCTCTTGAACTATTTTGCTTTTGTTATGGTCTTCAAGACGTTTCTGTCAGGATCAGTGGATATTTTTTGGTGTTTTCTCTATTTTCTTTCCCACATTTGAAATTATTGATCACCTTCTAGAAATTTTCTTTATCCTGAATTTTAGGATATCATTTCTTTTGGGTTTCCTCAGGGCTTTGTATTTTCCCCTTTTCATCATTTTTCTCTGTAATTTCTCTTTTACGTTTGCAAACTTCACCTTTGACTATAACCTCCATTGATCAAGGACTTGTCTCTCTCTGGGAGAGAGCTTTGTAATCAGACTGCAGACATCTCTGCCATGTGTCCCTAGGTGTCTGAAACCCTAAATATGTGAACCTGACCTCCTTTCTCTATCCTGTCTCAAACCGTCACAGATTCTATTGATTTCACCTCTTTAATGTGATTTGCATTTTTTTTAATCCTCTCCTGAGGACATTTTTCCATTTTTTGTTCAGATAGCGTGGGAGGGGGAGAGAGAGAGAGAAACATCGATGTGAAAGGGACACATTGAGTGGCTGCCACCTGTATAACCCAACCAGGGCCGGGGACAAACTGCAACTGAGATACATGCCCTTCGCAGGAACTGAACCCAGGTCTCTCTGGACCACAGGCCGACTCTCTAACCGCTGAGCCAAACCAGCCAGGGCTGTGATTTGCATTTAATCTGCCATCTCTGCTGCCACTGCTCTGGCTTACGCTCTTGCTTACCTTCTTCTCTTTGGTGATTAAAGTGGACTTTTGGAGTCTTTCTCTTACAGTGTTTTCCTCTATGCTACCCATCACATGGAGATTTGAATATATCATTTTCTTGATCCAGATGTATCAGTGACATCTAGTTATATATTTATGTTTAAACTTAAATTCTTAACTATTATCTTAGTAGAGTCTGCCTGATCTAGCCTCTACATGCTTCTTGAAACTCATATCCTCCCCATTTTGCTCTGGCCACATTAGCTTCCTGTTTGTTCCTGAGATGTATTATACTCCTTTCTGCCTCTGGACATTCACAGCTGCTGTTCCCTTTGCCTGAGTTCTCTTCCACCATCTCCACCTGACTCCACGCTGCCCCCCTGCATGGTTTTGTCCTTCATTTCTTTCAGATTTCTCCTGCAGTTTTACCTCTTTAGAGACTTTCCTTTACCCTGCTTTATTCTTATTATTTTTTTCCCCAACCGGAAATCAAACCAGCAACCTTTAGTTACGTAGGATGATGCTTGACCAACTGAGCCACACGGGCCAGGGCTACCCTGCTTTATTTTTACCTGCAATTATGTATTTCTGTCATTAACTTATTTCACTGTCTTTTCCCCTGGGTTCTCGAGTACAAGGGCCTTGCCTGACACGCTGTAGGCACCCAGGAAATATAAGTGATCAAATAAATTATGTATTTAAGTAAAATTGTATATCGATGATTATTGGGTTAGGATAAATGACATTAAAATATAGAAGTGGAAAGACATGCTGCAGTATTGTTTTATTCAGTAATGAATTACTGAGTATTTCCTAGTAAAAATTTCTTTTTAAAAATTGTTTTGTCTTAACACATTACTATTTTGTTTGATTGTTACTGTCAATTCATCTGATAATACTATTAGTGGGTTATTTTTTATAGTTGTTACCCAGGTTGGGTGGAGACCTGCCTGGGACAAGAGGTTAGATAATTATCTTTATTGTTGACTTATTTATGATATTTGAAGTAGATTTACTATGTACAGAATTTTCTTTCAACTTTAAAATTCTTTTACTCATTGTTTTGTTCTGTTTTTTTCCTTCCTGTAGATTTTTCATGATGTAGCTTATAAAGCAAAAGACAGAAATGACCTCTTATCTGGAATTGATGAATTTTTAGATCAAGTAACTGTCCTACCTCCAGGAGAGTGGGATCCCTCTATACGTATAGAGCCACCAAAAAGTGTTCCTTCTCAGGTAAGAATCCACACAGTTCTTTTGAGTTACATTTAAAATATTTTTTGATTACACATTTTTAAAAATCAAAACTATATACAGCACTCAGAGAAGTTGTACTCCAGTACACTTTACGTTCTTACCTCTATACCCACCTTCTGTGGGTCACCATTTATTACAAGTTTTTGTTTATCTTTCTAGTTTTTATTTAGTACAAAGAAATAGGAACATATAGTTTGACTTTCTCCTCTTTCTACCAGAAGTTAATATACTATATGTACTGTTTTGCACCTTGCTTTTTCTATATAACAATATGTTTTGGAGATCTGATCATAAGAAATCATACAAATATTCCTTATTCCTTTCTCACAGTTTTGTTGTTTGTATCATAGGATAAACTATGGGCTCAGGTTGTTTTTGGTGTTTTGCTATTACAAACCAATATCACAGTATTTATATTTCATATTAGTCTTGTGCAGATGGAGCTATAGGATAAATTCTCAGAAACAGGATTGCTGGCTCACATGGGAATTTATAATTTTAGTAGATAATTAGCAGAATCTCTTTTTATCAGGGAACTACAGGGTGTCGTTCCCCCCCCCCCCAATGTATACAGGGTGTCTGTAGATTCTGTTACATTTTGAAACTTAATACCCTATATTTTAATGAAACGTATTTTAATAAACATGGGCTTTATAATTATTAAAAGTTATGTATACATTTTTTTGGGGGGACACCCTATATTTTGGACCCCCACGGCGATGTATGAAAGTGCCTATGTCCCTATAGCCACACCAACACAGTATGTTGTCAGACTTGGATATTTGTTAGTCTGATAGGTATCTTTATCTTACTGTATCTGTTATTTTAATGTGATTTTATTTTGCATTTTTGTAATTAGTGAGGTTGAATATATCTGAATATATTCCTTCATTGCCCTCCACTACCTTTTTTAAAGAACATTTAAATTGTTCATTGAGCCTTTGGAGTTCAGCACAGTGTATTATGTGGAGTATGTATCCAGCTTCATGTTTTTTTCTAAATTGCTGCCTGGTTGTCCCAATTTATTAAAAAGTTGATACAATTTTTAAATTTTATTATTACTCCCATTGATTGGTGATGTTGCCTTTCTCATTTACTAAATTTCCATTTGCATTCAGGTCTTTTTGTGGGGTTTCTTTACCATTGGTGTGTCTATTCATGGATCAATTTTGCACTTTAATTTTTCAGTTTTTTGGTATTTTAATATCTGAAAGATCTAGGTTCATTCTTGACTCCTCTTACTCTTGTTTTTCTAAATTTCCTTGGCTATATTTGCATGTTTATTTTTTATGTAAGCTTTAAAATCAGCTTCCTATTTACAGAAAAAAAAACAAAAACACACCTGATTTAAAAAAAAATTATGATGGCAGTTAAATTTCTAAATGAACTGAGGGAAAATTGACATCTTTATAACACTGAATCTGTTCAAGAACATGGTATATCTTTCCCTAGTTGTTTTCCTATTTCAAGTCAGTTTTTGTGTCCTTAAGGAATGTTATAAAGTTCTCCTTATCTACGCTTTCAAGCTTCTTGGTGAGTGTATTCATTAGTATTTTATCTTTATTGTTTCTATTGTAAAGGGGGTCTCTGTTCTATTAAATTGTCTGTTACTTTTATGTATGTGAAGGCTATTTGTTACTGTATATTTCTTTTTTATTTATTCATATCATCTGCAGTATTTTAATCTGTCCTTTTAAAACTTATACCTCTGATATGTTTTCTGTTGTCTAATTGTTTTAACTAAAATCTCTAATAGTGTTAGGTAGTAGTTGACTTGATATGGGCAATTCTTAATTTTTAATGGTTGTTAATGTCCCTAGTATTTCTCTCAATAAGTTATTGATGTTGGGACCAAAATTACACATTTTTTATCATGCTCAGAAAGTACCTTCATTTGTATTTCATTGAAAATTTTAATATAAGTTGATGTTGAATTTTGTCAAAGGGCTTTGAGATGATCATATGCATTTTATTTATCAGTTATTATGGTAAATCATATTAATAGTTAATATGAAAACACTCTTGCATTGTTGGAATAAACCCAGCCTGGGTTGTGATGTGTTGGCAGTCTATGTTTGGTATTTTATGTTGTTTGCATCTCTTAAGTAGATTGGTCTATAGATATTTGTGCAGTTTTTATGTTTTAGTATTATCAGTATACTTGTTTTATAAAAACACATTTAAAATTTTCCTTTTTCTGTATTCTTAAAACTTAAAATGGCTTGGAATAATTTAGTTCTAAAAGTTGTAAGAATCTTTTGTAACATTTTCTGAGCTTGAATCTTTTGTTGTATGGTAGGCTACAGCAACTTGCTTGTTCTCTGGAAACTGGTTTGTGTAAGCTTTCTACTTTTTCTGGGGTCAGTTTTAGTAAGTTATAGTACAGATTTTCCAGTTTTTTGGTGTCAGTTTTGGAAAATTATGTTTTCCTAGTATATCACCCATTTCATCAAGGTTTTAAATGTATCTGTATAGGATTGTACACTGTAGTCTCTGTCTCTCTTTATGTATATGTATATATTTCATATATATATATATATAATTTCCCTCAGTTTGTGAAGTTGCCTCCTTGTCATATTCTTGTTGTGATTAGCTAATGGTTTATCATATTTCTCAAATAGAGCAGCTTTAAAAATTCATTTTTTTTTAAAAAAATGTATTTTGTTTTCTAACTCAGTTTCTGCTTTTAGCTGTTTTATTCCTTTCACTTTCCTTTAGGAAACTTTTTTTTCCCCTTTGGTTTTAACATTTCCTGAGTTAGGTGCTTAATTTGTTTATTTTTATTCTTTCATTTTTCTTAATATACTTATGTTCATTTTCTAGGAATTCCATAATTTTGTTTTCTTCTTTGAGCTAAGCTGTATTTTAGTTTTTTTTTTATATTTTCAAATGGTAACCTTAGGATTATAGATAAGTCTTTACCCTCTACATATTCTGAACATATAGACCAGGTAGTGTAAGTTAGTAGTTCAGGAACTGGGGGATCTCCTGGGGTGACCCACCCCATCTTTCTCTCTCTTCCATATTCCTCCCTACCACTCTTTCCCTTCCTCCTCCTCCTTTTTCTCTCTTTCTCTTAGGCCCAAGTAACAAATTAAAAACTCCTTTCTTTTCAAGTGAGGGGAACAAGGTCCTTTATCATGAGAATAGTACTTTTGAATTTGTAAAAAAAACTTAATGGGATATTGACTTTTCATGAAAATGCTTTGAATACACAATTCTCATGCTACTTATATATTAAGGGAAGTATTTTAGTAAAAGAAAAATTGCATTTACCTTTTTCTTAATGTAAAGTACATTTTCAGCAGTTAACATGAGCAGTATTTTAAAAATTCTGGTGGGAGCGATACTTCATTGGATATTTATGTTCCTTTTGCTGAATAGTAATTTGAAATGGTGTATATGGATTTTTATAATATATATATTAGAGTATAAAATGGAACAAACCAAACGTGAACTTAAAATATTGATAAACAAGATTAGGTTTTGTGCTAAAGTAGAGCTTGTTTAAAGTCGAAGTGTATGTGAGGAAACCTTTCTCCAGGAGCACTAGTTAGATACATGTGGCCACTAAGATTTCATGTTGCCTCTGACTGCAGATGCCATCTCAGCTTTCCTAAAACAAAATTTTGAAAGTATGTTTTTTTGTGAAATGCAGGAAAAGAGAAAGATTCCTGTATTTCCCAATGGAGCTGCCCCCAGCTCGGGTGAGATTCCTAAAGAGGCCGCTCATCACGCTGGCCCTGAGCTACAGAGGACTGGACGGTGGGTACAAATACTGATACAGTGTGGGTATCTTTTGAGATTAGGGGTTGATTTGATGAAAAAGGCATACAAAATTCTTTTTCTTTGCAAATATTTGAGCCTAATCTCATACAGTGTTTTTTTCATATTAAAACAACATTGTGCCTTATTGTATAGGTATATGATATTAAGGAAAATTATTATGCATTTAAAAATAAGTTTACTAATACATACTTGGGTTCTGTATACCAAGCTTTAATCTAAAATGAAAATATTATGCCTTATGTTAAGAATGTTGCACAGTTATATAGTAGGCTAATTTACAAGAAGGTTTTTAAAGAAAATGTGGAGTCCTTTTATAATTTTCTTGTGAAGTTAGAGAATTATGGGAACAGAGAAATCATAACCAATGATTTTTGTGTGTGCATAGACTTAAAACTCTTAAAAGAGCATTATATCATAAGATGATGTAAAATTAGACATGTATAATTAAACCATGGTATCAGTCTCTGGAAACCCACTTAGAAAAATTATTGAAGTTGTTCATTTTTGGAATAAAGAATAGGAATATTGCCAGGTGTAAATGTTGTCTTAAAATATTTTGTAGAAGTAGAAAATGTTATGGTATTTTTTTATGTAGAAAAGCGTGTGGGGTATTGATAACTTTTTGTCCACTGGTGGTCTCTGTGGAAGTAAATATTGAATCTTTAATATCTGTTTAAAAAGCCAGGCTATCTTATACACATACACTATTAGGGATAGTAATGACATGCCTAACTAATACTATACAGAAGAAAAATAACAATTGGTATACTAAATATAAACTTTATGAGAAGCTTAAACTCACAATTAATTCATTGACTAATATATTAGTCTCTGTGAGTATAATAGAGAATAAGATTGTCCCCATGCAAAGGGTGCTGCTCTGATATTAACTATTGTTTTTATTGTTTCCTCAAACTTCAAAATGAGATAGAATTAGTGAGAAATACCAAGGCCCTCATTGAGCTCATGGTTGGTCATCTTAGAGCCTTATATAAGCTGTTAAATAATCAGTTATTGATTTGATGATGTAGTTTTATTTTTTAGATCGTCCTTGGCACCTTTATTATTGCAAGTTAATTCCCTTTGCTTTAAATGTTTTTATTTATTTTTTTAAAGAGAGGAAGGGAGAGAGAGAGAGAGAGAAACATCCACGAGATAGGAACATGGATCAGCTCCTCCTGCACACCCCCTACTGGAGATCTAGCCCACAACCTGAGCATGTGCCCTGACTAGGAATTGAACTGGGACTTCTCAGTCCATGGGACCATGCTCAGTCCATTGGGACACACCGGCTGGGCAGGATCCATTTCACTATTAACTTAAAAAGATGTTAGAAAGGTCAAGCTTGCCACGTCCAAAGCATTGGAAAGCATAAGATTAATTTTTTGGAGTGTTTTCTACAGTAGGGATTTGAATGATTATATATTTTTGAGCCACAAAACCTGTTTTGAATTATCGATTTATCACAAGTATTTATCGGGTACCCACTTTGTCCCAGGCTGTGTTCTAGACACTGAAGATAATGGCACTGAACAAGAAAAAATCTCTGCTCCTCACAGAGCTTATATTTTAGTGGAATGCTTTCAAGTTAGCTGATCCAAAAGTCTGATTACAAAAACAAAAAATCCCAGTATTGAAATGACACAGGTTTGATGTACAAATATAGATTTTTAAATTTAGTAATTAAAACTTCTTATTAATATGCACACTAGTTTGACTATATATAAAGTAAATTGCGTACACTCAAGTACTTCTTAGGCCTTTTTCCTGGACCAGAAATATTTATGCAATTAAAGTGCTAATTTAAAAAATAATTTAAATTATTTAATTTACTTCTGAGTGGATTTAAGCACTGCATATTCTATTCATATTAAAGGGTATTTTGGGGGCTTATGATTTATATTATAATTGCCTTCCTGGCATTTCTGACACTTGCCTTTAAGATTTATAATGCAGATAATAATAGAATAACTTATGTATGTTTTCATGAATGGGTTGTTAGGTTTTATTTACTTTTATTGTACATTTCCTTGCACATTTATGTCTGAAATTACATTTACTCATATAAAATCATTTGCCTGCAGTCTTTTCTGTATATAGTCCATAAAATACAAATGTTTATGTCTCTGAACTTAATGAGATCAACCTTTCCTCTATCAGTGAGTTAGATTAAATGGGTGTATCTTCTGTAATTTATACCATGATTTAAATAGGATATTAATTTTTGTTGACAAAACACTTAGACACCAGCAGTTTTATGTAGCCCATAGTTTTAGTTTGAAATAGCTAGAATCCTCTAGTGTACAGTTTGACGAGTTTCATCTCACCTATTTAGGCTTTTTGGTGGTTTGATACTTGACATCAAAAGGAAAGCACCTTTTTTCTTGAGTGACTTCAAGGATGCATTAAGTCTGCAGTGCCTGGCCTCGATTCTTTTCCTATACTGTGCCTGTATGTCTCCTGTAATCACTTTTGGAGGGCTGCTTGGAGAAGCTACAGAAGGCAGAATAGTGAGTACAAAGATTGGTAGTGGCCAGGCTCTTAGCTCTTCAGAGGCAAGTGTCTGTGTGCATTTGTCTCACTATTCCTACTTTTATTCGAAGAGTCTACGCACAGCATGGTTAACCTGTCCAAAAGCAGACTTCCCCCAAAGGTAATTGCTATGGGAAACATGGGGAAGCCATATGAACAGGAGAAGATGCACAGTTGAGGTAAAAAAAAAAGAAAAATAAAGAAGAAGAAGAAAAAAAGTTTCTCCTGGCTTGCTGGATGAATGGTTTTATAAACTGAGTAAAAGGCTTGTGTTGTCTGTGTGGGGGAGAGGGGTCTGGATGGGGGGAGACCACTTGAACTGATCCCGGGCGGGCCATGGGTGGAGGAATTTATCACTGGGGCTACTTCACGCCCTGTAGGGCACCATAGGGTTAGGTAGGTATAGCTGTGCGAGTAATGTTAAGTCATCAGCCCTGGTGGGTAGGCCCGGACTATAGACCATTTGGAAGAAGAGAACGGAATTGTGGACAAACGATGGGTTTTTGAAGTGGTGCTTCCTTTAATCTTGTTATTACTAAATTTGTGTGAAAATAGTCAAAGCTTTTTATTGGAAAGTATAACTGAAAACTGCATCCGTAATTTGACACAACTGAAATGAAAGTTATGTTTTTTTGTTCTTGACTAAAATGAAACTTTTTATGTTTTACTGCTGCTCTTGGTAATACTGTATTAGGGGCTGTGGGAAGCATAACCAGTTCTTTGTGAAATCTTAAAGACAATTTTTTATTCATATACATTTTAGTGGCATTAAAATGAGATGATTTATAATTCTTAAGTATATTTTATTTAATTATATTTACTCTTGGGAGAAAATTAATTTATTCTTACAAATAAAAGTTTAAAAAATAGTCAATGCTAAGTAGTGGTAATTATTTAATTAAAATATTTTGTGAGCTGAACAGGAGATAAACATGACAATTAAAATTCCTTTCAACTCATTTTCTTTTCAATTATTTAGATCATTTTTCCTTATTCTGTAATCACTATGTGAAAGGCACATTTTTTTTTTTTTTATAAGTTTCTTTATGTGCTGTCATGAGTTGTACATGTAACTCTGCCAGTCCCTGTGGAAATGTCTTACCTGTTACCTTCATGGAAAGCTGCTTTGCTCTAGACTGTGACTGTCACTCACTGCCTGCCCGTCTCATCCTGCTGTTTAATCCCATGTGCATGTGGTAGTGCTTTAGGCACTGGAGGGATCTAGACAAGTGTGACACGAGCATGTGGCTTCTGTCCCCAGGACCCTGTCACAGGGATCCTAACCGAAGGGGAGAGAGACAGGATGGTCTAATGTAGTTAGTATGTCATGGAGTGCTGTGGACACAGGAGCGAGGTCAAGGAAGAGCTGGAAGAGTTGAAGTGATGGAAATGGAGAACGCAGAGTGTGTTATGGAGGAAGGTGATTTGGAAACGTGTTTGTTTTCGGATGCTTTTTTGGAACTTCAGGTGTAAATGGAGACCTAAGGAGGTGGAGCTCCAGAGTTGGTAGTGATAAGACAGAAATGAAGAGGTCGGGAATGGTTCACGCACAGGTGAGGCTTGAAACAGAACAGATGACGTTACCAGGGAGATCATTTACAGGGAGCGAAGGCGAGGAAAAGAGCGGGAAGTTACTCACATTTATGGAGTGGAGGAGGAGTGATGACAGTGAGGAGGAAGATGCCAGCATTAGACACAGGCACCGCCAGAGCTCTGAAAGAGGAATACGGATGAAGTAATTTTGCAAAAATCAAAATAAAGGTATTTGAGGACAGATGAACACGGAGTGCTCAGTGCCTGCGGTGGGGAGGCATATGGGGAAGAGAAGGGTAGGGCCTTTTTTGTTTTTAATCATCCCCCGAGAATACTTTTTCCATTAATTTTTAGGGAGCATGGGAGGGAGGGAGGAGAGAGAAAGAGAAACATCAGTGTGAGAGAGAGACTCATTGATTGGTTGCCTCCCGCACGCACAATCCAGATAGGTGCCCTTGACCGAGAATCAAACTTGAGACCCTTTGGTGAGAGGGCCAAGGGCTGACACTCTAACCACTGTGCCACACCAGCCAAGGGCGGGGCAGGACTTTGGATGAGTAAACCGGAAACTTCTGAATGTGGGGTGGGGACCACAGGTAGTGGGGTTGTGATTTTTTTTTTTTTTAGGAAAAGACCTAGTTCAGTTTGGGAATGAACATAGGAACAGTTTAAAAATTAGAAAGAAAATAGGTCTGGGTAAAGGACCTAGGAAATGTGGCAATAAAGGATTGGGAGTAGTGTAAGGAAGGACTTCATGCGGCTGTTTCTGCTTTTTCAATGCAATGTTGGGGAGGGAAACTGTAATTTTATGCCTATCTGCCTCTGTTAGCATTCCCTTACTTGCCATCTCTTTGCTTTGCTTCTCAATTTTTTTGCTTTCTATTTCTAAATGCCATTTCATACATAAATATGCATATTCTATTTTAAGGATTTTGTAATGGCTTAGCAGTGTCTTCTAGGACAAACCACGGTCTATGGGCAAGAAAATTTATCTCATGTAATTAACAAATATATTGTTACTATGGGCACTTTTTAATTTTGCCAAAAGTCAAGTTTGTATGTGGGTTTGACCCTATTTTTCTACTAATAGTTAAGTAATACTTGTACTGCATACTATTATTTTGTGATTTTGATTTGGAAGATGCTGATTATTGCTGCTGATGAAGATTTATTGAGTGCATCCTGTCTGCCAGATGCTTGCGAGGTGTCTCACAAACACCGCTTCATTATAATCTTTTGCCTGTTATCAGCACCATTTAAAAATGAGAGGAGTTGAGCTCAAAAAGTTTTAGGTGTGTCCATGGCTTGACACCTAGTCAGAACCATCTGACACTTCAAATCTGGTTCTCAAGCCCTGCTCTTGGCCTGAAGCTGTGCTGCCTCCCAATTCCTGAAGGGCTGTTTCTCACAAGCTCCGTCTCTTTGCCTCCACTTTCTGGGGATGGGCTTTTCCTTTCCTGATTGTGCTCCGGTTGGCTCTGATCTCTGTGAGTGGTAAACTAGCTGCTGCTTTCCGATCCCTCCTCTTTGTCCAGTGGCCTAGCCTCACCCTCTTCCTACCTAATAACCTAAAGTTAGAATGGAATGTTGGTACTGGTATACAATTGGCTACTAGTTTTAATCTAAAATTTCTCTGTGTCTTTTAATTTTCTCATTTTGTCTTCTGTTACCAAACTTGAATCACAGTAAGGTATTTCCTCATTTATAATTGCTGTCAGTTTTATAAAGAGATGTTTCCACCTATTTTATTTATGTTAAGCATTTCATCTTTGATATCTGTTGGTGAAGACTATCCTATTAGATTTGTTTCTTTAAAATGTGTGAAAATGGCTCTTTAGAAATCAATTTGGGAATAGTAACATCACATGTTAATCTCTTACCCATTTCAAGGAGTCTTTTTCAAGCAGGATCTCGAGTGTTTAATGTTTTCTGTGTTTTAAATGAACTATTTCAGACATACAAAAATATTCAAAATAATATGTGTATCTTTGTACTCACCACAGGCTTAAGAAATAAAACCTCCACAGATAGAATTGAAGTCTCTATGTCTGTCTGCCATTTATTCCCTCCTCCTTACCTTTCACAGCATTGGGTTGGAGTTCAGGTTGTTTGCAAAAGCTCACTTTTAATATTCAGAAACAAAGCAATTTTTCTTATGTATTTAAAAGGTATTTTTAATTTTATGTGTTTAAAATTTAAATTTGAGACTCAGAGTTGTATTTTATATTTTTAACTGTTTGGTTAGTATTTTTTATTTTCCAGATGTCTAGTACATGTATTATCATAGATTAGAGATATGTTTATGATGTATTGCTTTTATTCATTTCTTTTTTCCTTAAACAGAGTGCAATAGAGTCTCTTTTTGGAGCATCATTAACTGGGATTGCCTATTCGTTGTTTGCTGGGCAACCTCTAACAATATTGGGGAGTACAGGTCCAGTTTTAGTGTTTGAAAAAATTTTATTTAAATTCTGCAGGTACGTAATAGTTATCTACTTGTCACATGTTTATGTATGTGTATAATTATGCATTATACTGTTTTTTATCTTTAGGTAAAAGTGCATTATATATTTAATAACTGAAAAAGAAGATCTGATCAATATATATATTGTCAACATTTTTGTGTTACTGTGTGGGCGACCCTACTCTAGTCCCTATCATCATTTCTACCCCCAGTCACCTCGAGTACAAAATCAGTGGATTTGAGCACTGATAAGCAAATTACTTAAGGGGCAATAAAAGTTCTTTGTGCTAGCAAATGTCAACTCAGTAAGAAAGTGTTAGTCTGAATTGTTTATTAGATGGTATATTGGCCTTACCAAAAGAAGTTTCGGAAGGTGGATCTTGAGGGCTTGAGCTGACCTTATCCACTGGGGCTCTTCACAGAGTGAATTGGCACAATCAGAGGGAGGTCCAGTTTCCACTGGCAGGGTTGTTGACAATGTGGGAACCAGTGCAGGGTACTGTGGCTAGTAGACTTTGAATTCGATATGGCCAGTACTGCTCCTTCTGGGAGATAAGTGCAATCGAATATGTTAGCCTGGGGCAACCTGATGCTATTAAGTATTTGATTCCTCTAGCTCCTCTTATTCTGATTCTTTCTCCATTGAACGAGCTGATTCTGATCCTGATCTGGCATGCTGTGTAGACTAATAGAGAATGCAGTGTCCTGACATGGTTTAGATGCTGTGGTAGTCATTCCTCACTGAAATTGAATGAAAAATTGACTTCGCTTTCTCTGGAGATGCTGGTGGTAGAGGAGATGGTGGTGACAAGCAGGGACATTGGGGCCATCGTGTGATGACCTTGTTGACACTAGAGCGTCTGGGGTTCTGAGAGTGCTGCTTTGTCGTTTACTCCTCATAACTGATTTCCAAAGTGAAGTCTTTGTTTTTGGAATACTTATTGCCTACCAGGTTTCCACTGTTGGTCTTTTATGTAAGTAAAAGATAACCATGAAGTCTGTTGAATAAGAAGCTAGTCTTCATTTGAAGCAGTTATTAGTCTGTTTTTCCGTAATTTCCTCTCTCTTTAGGAGTCTTATGTTGTTACACTGTTCTTATTGCTTGGTATGAAAATTATAAATGTAAATACTACTCTATATATGTTGATCGTGTTCACGTTTTTTCTTTTTAAACAGAGATTATCAGCTTTCCTATTTGTCTTTAAGAACCAGTATTGGTCTGTGGACCGCTTTCTTGTGCATTGTTCTGGTTGCCACAGATGCCAGCAGCCTTGTGTGTTACATCACTCGCTTCACAGAGGAGGCTTTTGCAGCTCTCATTTGCATCATATTCATCTACGAGGCTTTGGAGAAGCTCTTCCATTTAGGAGAAACATATGAATTTAATATGCACAATAATTTAAATGGACTGACCAGCTACTCGTAAGTGTTTCTGTTTCCCTCTAGTATCAAAATGTTCTTGTTCTTTTTTCAGAGATGGCTGAGCCTAAGAATGGATTTTTTGGGGATGTGATGTTTACTTTGTATTGAGCTAAATTTACCCAGCTAGCCACGTGGAGGTTGACTTGTTTGTTACGGATGAGATTTTTACCAAAGCACTCAGTAAATCCTGTTGAACAAATCCAGTTATTTTTATGCTGTAAATACGATTCTGCATTTGATTAACTCATATGGAAAAATGTGGTTACCAATGAACAATAAGAACATATCTTCCCTCCTTCTTCCCGTCCCCTCCATACCTCTCCTTCTCCTTCCTTCCCTTGCCCGCCTTGCACACTTTCAATTTTGATGGACAGAGTAGGGAGGGTTATGAAAATTCCTTTAAGACACTGACCTGTTTGAAAATATTAGTGACGCTTGGATGCCAGAATCTATTTTGCGCTATCTTCTTTGCTCTTAAACTGTTTAATTTTTTAAACATTATATTCTGTCTTCTTTCTTTCGCTGTTCCTTTAACCTTTATGGAGCATGGTTTTCATACTAGTGCCAGCCAGTTAGAGCAGTGCATCCTTCTGGTTAACCTAGTAATTACCTGTGAGCATCACACGTTCAGCTAACATTCTGTGAACACTTGTATGAATGTTGCATAACTCATACCACAGTGTTCCTCAGTTATTCAGATGTATGAAAAACCTGAGGCTCGTGGCGATTAAAACTTTCCTTGGCTCAAACAGCTAGTAAGTAATAGAGCCTGGATTGAATTCAAAGTCCAGCCTCTTGCCTCTTCTCAGAACAGCTCATAATCTAATTTGTTTTACATTTTTAAATCTATATTAGGGACTTGCTTGTGTGTGTGTGTGTGTGTGTGTGTGTGTGTGTTTTAGCATTTTTTATGTGGGTGAGTTAGTTCTGGATATGAACTAAAACTCTCTGATCTCCTAATGACTTTCCTAGTCTTGTCCTGATGAAAAAGTATGTTGTTACTTAGAATGAATCTCAAGGATGAGTAGGTAGGGCTTGTCTGAGTACAGGGGATTACTGGAGTGTAACTTTTATTGGGAATCTGTGCATATTGTGTGTATATGGGGAGGCAGCGGCAGCTCCTATGAGATTTAGGGGAGAGTAAACTTGCCACACATGGTAGTATCTTCTCAGAATTTTAAAGAAACTGGTACACCCCCCTCCCAAGAGATCGGTCTAACTAGTTTCATTAAGTAAACATTCTCACTGCTGTTTGTATTAGTTATGTTTTATTTATATAAGCCAAACCTCATTTCTATTTCTGAGGGGTGTTTCACTTCTAGTGTTCATGCTTTGCAACATGGAAATAATTAAGAAGTTAAAAGCTACCACCTTGTGTGATCAATTTAATAAAATGTAAACATGAAATATAGGACCCTAAAAATTGTATCCTATTCTAATTTCTCAGATGTGTATGTATGGAACCTCCTAACCCTAGCAATGAAACACTAAATGTATGGATGGAAAATAATATAACAGCACATGATATTTCCTGGAGCAATCTCACTGTTTCTGTGAGTATATAAAAGATTTGCAACTATTAACCTAATTCTTCAACTTTTTCTTAATAGACCTACATATTTTTCTTGATTGATGGATATAGTATGTTTTCAAAATACAGTGTTATGTTGACCAAGTAGGAGTTACAACATTTTTGTGTATCATGCACTAAAAAGTGTAGGCTGAAAAAACTGAAGCTGGTACAGTTGAAAAAGATGGAATATATCTGACTTCCAAGATACCATTATTAAAAAGATTTGAATATACTTTTCCCCCCTAATTCTACTTAGATTCATAAATTTGAAGGAAGGGTGTACTAGGACTATGGTTGCAACACTAGAGTTGACAGTTCAGCAGCCCTTCCACCTGCCTTGCCCTCTCTTTATTGGCTCATCTGCTCTGAACAGCTTATTTAGAAGACCATGAATACTCTACTAATGTCCCGAATGTCACCGAACCATGTTTAACTTGTGAGACTAGTCTGACTTAAGCACTAAGGGAAGAGAAAGGAAAAGGGACAAAAACCTGGAATGAGCACCTATTATGTCCTGAATACTATTTCATATTCTTGTATTCTGTTGGGAAATGTTGTCCTGAACCCTAGAATATTTGTTTTTGACATGCCCCAGGTTGGGATTTAGGAATAAAAATATAAAGTGATTCTAGCCATATGAATGAAAACCAAGATTCCCTGAGCTTTTCTGGTGCTTTTTATATTATGTAAGCAATTGCAGGTCATTTTTTCTCTCATTAAAGGTGTCGGTGCTTAAGTGTATAATTGGAAGGATATCATCTGAAATTTTATCCCATTGATAATTTAAGTCTGCTGTCTAGTACAGCAGTCATTCCCTACGTGTGTCTATTTAAATATAAATTAGATAAAACTCATTAAAAGCTCAGTTTCTCAGTTGCATTAGCCACATGTCAAGTGCTCAGTAACCTCATGTGACTGCTGGTTGCTTGCTGTATTTGACAGTGAGGTTACATAACATTTCCATCATCATAGAAAATTCTCTAGGACAGTGCTGATATAAAGCATCATATATGTAATCAACTTAGATTAATGCTTTGCTATTTCATATTTAAAAGTCACTTCTGTTATGAAAGAGGTCAAGTTAATAGAGCTGCTCAAATGAAAGTGGTTCGCTTAAAAAAGTCATTCTGTGATGAATAGGGCATCTCGATATTATAGAGACATGGTCTTTTCATTGTGATTTTTTGTTTTTTTTGACATCCAAAAGGGCTGTGTTAGATACATTTCTTTTTTTGGAGCTATAGCTTTTATTTTCATGATCCACATTGTAAATTTGTAGGTGTTCTAATCTCAGCACATAAAAATTGAGAAAAATGGAACCTTTTGGTAAACTTGGGTTGTAGTTGTGAAGAATGAGTCTCCTTAAAGCATGAGTGAGGGGAAGAGCGCTTCAGTAGCGTGTGTCTTCGTTAGCCACTGGTTGCCTTTCAGTTATTTTTATGCCCCAGAGGAAGATCAAGTCGACAGATTTTTATAATTATATTGCATTATGTTATACTATTGATTATGTTATTGATTGTTATTAATGGAGATATTTTCATAATCACATTACTGCTTATAGCCCCAATGCTTTAATTCCACATTCTTGAGTCAAGTCAGAAAAGCCTATAGCAGTTTTTATTACTGACTTGAATTTAGTACTATAGGTATTTTTCAGCATCATAAAAAGGTATGGTTGGTAGTAATTTTCTCTCTGTAGCTTTTGTTATAAAGCACTGGTTGAGAAGTAAAGATAGAAAAATTGTGAACCAGCAGGAATGCGCAGAAAACTTCTGGGGATTAATACTTACTGTGAGCCTTCCACCAAAGGAAATACGGGTTGAAAGATAGGAGTTATGATTGTAACTTGGCAAAATACTGTATTTCAGATCTGTGATTTAAAATGCACATGTTTTTAAAACTGTAACATCTCTGAACTCAGGATGTGTCTTAACAGTTGATGGTGTGTTAAAGTTGAGTTGGAAGTATTTTTGTCTTTTTAGATGATAGATAAAACGATGGTGTGTCTTACAATCAGTAGCATCTTAGAATCAGTAAAATTCGTTAGTATTTTATTGGCTATCTGAGAATCCCCTCAATCCCTCTTTTTTTTTTTTTCAGGAATGTAGAACCTTTCATGGTGTATTTGTAGGATCAGCTTGTGGTCCTCATGGGCCTTATGTTCCAGACGTGCTCTTCTGGTGTGTTATCTTATTTTTCACAACATTTTTTTTGTCTTCATTCCTCAAGCAATTTAAGACCAAGCGCTATTTTCCTACCAAGGTAATTGGGGTGTAATTTTGGAGTTCTGGTAAAGTTACAGTTTTTGTTTTCATTCCCTTGGTTTATTTCAAAATAGTAATATATTCTTTGAGGTTAATACATAATGTCAAATAGTTATAAATGAATTATTCATAGTGACAAATGTATATTACTTGTCTGAGCTAGTAGTAGAAAAAGAACGGTACCTTAAGAGATGGATGGTAGGTTAATTGTGAAATGTGTTATTTCACTGACACATTGTCATGAATTAAAAACCTCATTCATACTTTCTAGTGGCATATTTTAATCTGAACAATGTGAATTATTTAGAAAGGATGCATAGTGTATCTGTGTTTATATTAATATAATCCCTTTAACATAGGTGCGATCGACAATCAGTGACTTTGCTATATTTCTCACAATAGTAATAATGGTTGCAATTGACTACCTTGTAGGAGTTCCATCTCCTAAACTTCATGTTCCTGAGAAATTTGAGGTAAGAATGAAAACACTTGGCTATTTGTTACTTGGGACTACCAAACTGCTTCAAAGTGTAAGACTGGGCTTCCTAGGTAGTTATTTTTAAAATATGCTAGTCTCTCTGAAAAGCTGATGCTTTGAAAGGAAACATTTTATGTATTTCCCATATATATAAAAAGAATGACAAGATTCAAAGCGACAGGTGAACCTGTTTAGGAAATAAGTAAGAAGGTATCAAAGCTAGTCCATCCTGGAGAATGAATGAAAATATCCATGGTGAAGAGTTGGGAGAGGTTTAAAAAATTTGACCTTGTTCTCAGAGCTGGAGTTCATGATGTACTTTCCAGGCAAAGGAAACAATCTTTATTCCATTTTAAAGACGTAAATCAAACTTGTATTTATGAGTAGCAAGGGCGTCCTAGTTAAATTTCTAAAAGGCTAGTGTATCTGACAGGAGAGAATCAAATGTTCTTCTACAAGAAAAAAGATACTTGATGTGATCATCCATGAACCCTTTGTTTTCATTAGCAAACTATAGTTCTTTTATATACAATATTACCATATGCATAATATAGCATCTAATAATATTTTTTTAAATTAGAGGTGGCAGCTTTTGAATAATTTCTGGGATTTATTCTTAGAGTTAAGTATTTGTGTTACTGCTTATATTTACATATAGCAAATTAAATGACTTCTTTTAGAAACAGAAGATTTAAAGGTGATTAGAAATAACGAATATGATGTAGATAATTTTAGTTTGTTATCTTTCACTGGGGTAAAAATAAATAACATTATTTTTTAAACCACTGATCTCCAAAGTGGAGTGCTTGGGTAGAAAATGATCCACCAAAATTATTTAGGTCTGTTTATATTGTTATCTAAAAATAAGAAAAATTAAGCCTTATAATATTTACTATATGAATTTCATTCTATGGATAACCATTAGTAACATAACAGGTAAATGAGTATAGAGCCATAGAGTGTATGTGCTCACTTTTATTTATAAAAACTTATAATATTTTTTGCTGTTAAAAGTGTATAATAAAGTTTAGAGACCTTTGTTTAAAAGCGTAGATTTTGATCCACTAAAGATTTTAGGTCACAAAGAGATGGCTATATGAAAGTCATTCTATTTTTACCAAATTTTACAAATAAATGAAGCTATAAATTAATATTGGTTCAAAGTATTGATGTAGTTTCCCATAGTTGTGGCCCTGTTTCCTGTTTCTGGTTCCTAACTACATCTTTATTATATTGATCTAGCTTTCAAGTAGCAGACTGATTTCCAGGGGCATAAAATACACTTGAGGAAACAAATTAAGGAACACTTAAGAATGTATGCATTATATAGATAAAATATTTCTATATATGTGCAGTGGTGAATATGAAGCAATCTAATATATGGCAGTGTGGGAAAATTGGAATACACAAATTAGAAAATATTAAATTTCCCTTTTGTATTGACAAATGTTTTCATGAAGAAAAAACAGGCTTTATATGAAGTCTAGGTAATAAAAGTACATTTAGATGTTAATATGTCCAATATTCTCCAAGATATTAAACTCTGTTGTGGTATTTTTTGTATAAAACAAATTTTATGTTATAGCATTGAAATTATTAGCATCTGATAAAATGCCAGATTTTTGTCGGTAGGTACTTTGGCAAAACAGTGTTCTGAGGCTTGATTCTTAGTACCGACTGTGCCAAGATCACTAGTCTGCAGGATCTCTAAAGCAGTTTAGTTTAGGAGCTGATCTGGTAGGTAGATTGATTTGACATTATATGAATAGGTAGGAGCATGGCGAAATGACACTCTGCTTCACTATCTGTTCCTTCATAGCAAACCCCCCACAACTTAATGCCTTTAAATGACAACCTTTTATTTGTTCGTAGATCTGTGGTATTGGGACTAGGCTTAGCTGGGTGGGTAGCGGTCTGGTCTCTTGTTTGTGATATTTCATGTAGCCACAGTAATCTGTTGCCTTGATGAGGGGCATGTAACCTCATTCACATGCCTGGGGTTTCAGATGGCTGAAACAGCTGGGGTGGTTGCCTCCTGTCTCTCTCTCACTACATCCAGTCTCCTCCTCAAGAAAGCTTATACAGGGGCACTCAATAGCTGAAGCTCAGGGTTCCAAGAGGGTTAGAAAGGAAGCTGCAAATGTCCTTTCAGATCAAGGCTCAGAGACTACACAATACCACATTGGCCTTATTCTTTTGGTTAAAGTAAACCGTAAGATCATCCCAGGTTTAAGGGGAAGATATAGACTCTACTTCTAGATGGAAAGAGTAGCTAAATTTTATGACATGGGACCTGCATCCAAGGATGGGGAAAGTCCCTGTAGGTAACTTTGCAAATAATTTACACATATCCCGAGATTTAATCCGGTTCTTTCTGATCCCTTGGCATTTCTGGGGATAGATACAGTCTGTGCTGTGGAATTTTTTGCAATAGAAGAAGAAAACTGTTTTTAAAAAAAAATTTTTTTTAACAGCCTACTGATCCAAATAGGGGCTGGATCATAAGCCCTTTGGGAGAAAATCCTTGGTGGACCTTATTAATAGCTGCTGTTCCAGCTCTGCTTTGTACCATTCTCATCTTTATGGATCAACAAATTACAGCTGTGATCATAAACAGAAAGGAGCACAAATTGAAGGTGACCTTAAAATTTTGTTTCAAATATTATAATTTCTTCAAGACTTTGGGGTGTTTTCCTAATGACTGAGAACATTAAAAGGTGTGAAGTGAAAATAAGTTTCTTCTCTCATAATTAGTAGTATAGAATTTTAATCTAATAGAACAATGTAGACATATAAAAATCCATGTTAATTTTGCTTTTCAGAAAGGAGCTGGCTATCACCTTGACTTGTTTGTGGTTGGTGTCATGCTGGGAGTTTGCTCTGTCATGGGTCTTCCATGGTTTGTGGCTGCAACAGTGTTGTCAATAAGTCATGTCAACAGCTTAAAACTTGAATCTGAATGTTCTGCTCCAGGGGAACAACCCAAGTTTTTGGGAATTCGTGAGCAGCGAGTGACAGGGCTAATGATTTTTATTCTAATGGGCCTGTCTGTATTTATGACTTCAGTACTAAAGGTAAAATCCCTTTATTGCAATGTTTTAAAATCTTTCTTATCGTAAAATTTATACCTGGTTGTATGAAAATGAAACATTAAAATATGTAAATCCAGTTTTATTTCCTAGACTTTACTTGGAAAGAAATATTTTGGTATGGTGTTTAGTATAACAGGCATTTCAATATTAGATGTATCCATTCTAAAAAACTATTTTCAAAGGATAATATTAAAGACTATAGGGTTTTGGCAGGAATTAATCCATGATTTAGATATGATCTAAGAAGAATATAGTCAGAGGATTTTAAACGCATAATTAGAAAAAGAACTATTGAAAAGTGAATGAAACTGAGTTATTTGACCAAAATATAAAAATAATGCTTTTTTTTATATCTGTATTTTTTGTGTTGATTTTAGAGGTGGGGGGGAGAGAGAAACGTCAATCAGTTGCCTTCTGTATGTGCCCCAACGAGGTACCAAACCCAAAACCAGATATGTGCTCTGACTGGAAATTGAACTGGCAACCTTTTGGTGCACAGGACAATGCTCAACCAATTGAGCTAGTCAGGCTGGGCAAAATAATATTCCTATTAATTAAACTAATGCATTCTTCCTAATAAACTAAATGAAACAAAAGTAGTAGCATTTAGTAGAAAAATATGAATAGCTAATATTATAAATGAAGCATGTAAGAAATTACACTTTATGTTTAACATCTTTTAGTCACATCTGCTTTTTTCTGTAAACATCTAATTGAATCTCATGATTAAAAGAAATAACAATAACCGTAACAAACAGCTAAGCATCTAATCTGAAATTTTCTGTTTATCCTGGAAGAGCTCAACTCCATTTTTCCCTTGGTGCTGTAGTTATTTTTATTGTAAACAAAATTAATAAAGAGTTACATACAATTTATAAATTAGGGTACAAGCTTGGAGTATATAAATGTGTATGTATGTATATTATATAGTAACTAAAAAAAATTATAGTTTAGTCCAGCTGGTGTGGCTCAGTGGTTGAGCCTCGACCCATGCACCAAGAGGTCGCCAGTTCGATTCCCAGTCAGGACACATGCCCAGGTTGTGGGCCCGATCCCCAGTGGGGGGCATGCAGGAGGCGGCCAATCGATGTTCTCTCTCATCGATGTTTCTATCTCTCTCTCCCTCTCACTTCCTCTCTCTCTAAAATCAATAAAGGAAAAAAAAATTATAGTTTAAATTATAATTCTTTGGCCTCTTTTCATGGACTTTTAGCAGCCAATTAATTCAGTACATATTTGTTGAGTACTTAGTTTTCTATTGAGCAACAGGGAAACTATAATAATTAGAATACCTTTTTGTCTACTTTGAAGAACTTGGAAGTCTAGTTGGTGAAACATAGGTAATGGGCAATTACTGCATAGTGGTGAGTGTATTTTTAGAAGTGCTTGGGACAGCACGAAAAATATGCCCTCTGATAGGATGCTTTCCTGATAAAAGTTGCCCTATACATTTTGAAAGTTTAAAATTTTTAAGTATTAAGTGCATGTAGGCAGGAAAAAGTCAAGTAGAATATCAAGAAAGCTCTGAAATGAAAGGCTAGTCTTGCTTATTCCCACTTTCTGAAAGGAACTACCCAGATGTAATTCTTTTTACTTTTTTGTCTTTTGAGTTATTTTGGTGGTTACCACCATTATAGTTTTGTATACTTTCATAATTTTATTTTTCACTTTATTACCTTTAGACTGAATATCTTTACCACAGACAGTTGTTTTTCAAAGTCTAGTTCAAGGACCTCTGGGAGTCCCTGGCACCCTTGTCCAGGAATATGATTTCCAATTATATAACTGTGTGAGGCTGAATTTTCTTCGTATACTTCAGCCAAAACAGCATATTGCAGCAGATTGAATGTACATACAGATTTGAGAATTTAGTTGTGTCTGTTCCACCACCACCCACTAAAGAGATTTACAGAAATGCAAAACATTGCTGCTACTCTTACTTAATTTGTTTTTGAAATTATAGTTTTCTATAAAATTTTCTGTTATTTTATAATTGATTTATTATTTTTAAATGAATTAAAAAGAACTGCTTTAAATTTTTCTTTTAATTTGTAATATGGTGACTGTGTACCACATAGCTCTATGTGTACAGTATATACATCAATATCTTTAATTTCCAGGGACTGTTTTCATTCTGTTTATTCACTTTTCTTAGCACTTTTTGTGGATAAAATATTTTTTTGAAATTTCCTGAGTATATTGATTAGATTGTAAGCATTTTTCCCCCCTCTTCCTGAGTTACTGTTTTCTCCAAGCTTTTTAGGAAAGACATACTAGGTTGTTTAGTAGAGTCTCCTCTGTAGCTCTTAGGTCCTTTATCCTGCAGCTCTCTCCCGCTTGGGTGAGAGTGCTGATTGCGATTTTTGAGTAAATGGATGGGGTCTGTTGATAGCTGTCCTGTAGGAGGCTTAGTTAGACGTGGACTAAGTAGGCGGTTTGGGATCTTCCTCACTGCCAAAGTAATAAGAACTTTCTTTTGGGGGTGGAGTTCAACTGTTATATTTAGTAAACATTACTGTGTAATAGTCACTGTAGGGGTAGTGATGGTAGATAATAATGGCTAATGCTTTTTGAGTGATCTATATATACCATGGGCTTTTTTAAAGTATTTTATGTATTTGAAATACTTTAATTTTCATTGCATTCTGATGCAGGAGACTAAAGCACAGAGTAGCGAAGGCTCCATAAGAGGCTAGCTGGGTTTTTAAACCAAGTAGTGGAATGTAGTTCTCGATCTCTTAACCAGGGAACATGCCCACTCCCCTTTTAGGAAGGAACATGCAGAAGACAAACAATTTTCAAGGAGGTTATTGTTTACTAGCATTTCTCTTATGTATAAAAAAGTTAGATCTCATTGCTGAAAAGTCATTTAATTCTGTCGCAATAGGTGTTTGTCGACTAAATTGTTTCGGTAGCATGGGTTCTGATTGTGGTAATTTTATTTACAGTTTATCCCAATGCCTGTTCTATATGGTGTTTTTCTTTATATGGGAGTTTCCTCACTAAAAGGAATCCAAGTAAGTCTTAACCGTTTAATAATTTTTGTAGAAAAACTTTAAAAATTTTTCGTTTGTGAAGATTATTTTTATGATTGTAGCAATTTATTCTCATCCCTAGTATTTTGAGGGCATGTTAACTGGTGACATCACATTCACATTTACTAGTGATTATTGGCCAACTGCACATTTTTCTTCCTCGAGAGTGAAATCCTGAACTGATAGGGTCCTGCCTGTTTCTAATGGAAGTCTTTGAGAAGCCCTCTGTCATTAAAGACTAGCACAGTGTGGGGGAAGATAAAAAGAATTAGAATGGGGAAAGAGTGCTGTTTCTGACAAGCTAAACAATTTCAGTGCTTAGGAAAAAAAGGTGGATACTAGTGTTCCATAAAAAGGGTGATACCTGCCATTGGTATGGTACAATACAGTTTATAAAGCTGGTACAGAAATTATTTTCTGTGATCTTCTAAACAACACTGGGAAGCAGGAAAGGAAGAAGTGCTAATTTTGTAAATCAGGAAACCGAAATCAAGAGACTCACTGAGGGTTCTTAACTAAGTGAGCAAGGGAGCCAAGTCTAGAACCCATGATTTCACTACTCTGTTTTGTCTTATTTATAATACTTCCTGGAAGACAACCTGATGCAATTTATTAAGATTTATATCAATCCAATCTTAGTGTAAAATATGTAGCTCATAAAACATGGTTTGTAAAGATTATTTTTCATCTTCACATAGGTGGTCCCCTATGGCCACCTCCTATAATGAAAAGCATACTGTCTCAAGTTGCCAGCTAGTGGCTGGCAAGACTTCTCAAAGGCAGCGTCTAGATTTTTTCAACACCGTCTAGGATCTGCTCTCCATTGGGCAAGAAATGATCTTATTAACTCACTTTTTTTTTTACAATAATTTTGTGAGGTAGGTAGGGCTAATCTTACTCCCAATTTATAAATGAGGAAAATTAAAGCTCAAAAGACCAAAGAATTTGCTCACAGTTTTCTTTTTAGTTGGTGAAAAATTGGTAATGTTAGCTAGGAAGATCTTACGAGATTGTTACTCTTTTATTATTTATATTAGGAATAAATTGAAAGATTAAATGACTCATGCCTGTGATTATAGCAGACAAATTTATCTAAATATTGTAATCCCCCAAATTAAAGCATTTTGGCTTGAGTTTTCTGATTAAATTAATTGCATTAGTTCACACGATTTTTTCCCTCCCTCCTCCTTGGGTGCAGATGTACTATCCTGAAACATTCTCCTGTGCTATCAGAACAAATCAAGGGAGTTACAGTTTTAATCACAAAACCCTAACATTAAATGTAATTTCTTTTCCTAGGTAGCAGAAATTATATTTTTGTTGAAACTGTTTTCTTATTTTGATTTTCATTCCACATACAGTTTTTTGACCGTATAAAATTATTTGGAATGCCTGCTAAGCACCAGCCCGATCTGATATACCTCCGTTATGTGCCTCTCTGGAAGGTCCATATTTTCACAGTCATTCAGCTTACTTGTCTGGTTCTTTTGTGGGTAATAAAAGCTTCAGCTGCTGCAGTAGTTTTTCCCATGATGGTAAGTTTTTTTTTTCAGACTTTGTCACTAATTAATACATTATTTTGTGTAATAGTAATTATTAATATTTATAATTGACTTTGAGAAAAGGCATAGCCTATTTTAAGCACCATGGGTGTTTTGAAATATGAATTAGCTTTTTCTAGCTATTAAACTAAGCATTTTCGAAACTGAATTTGTTATTTTCTACATTTTAGTTTTGTTTGTTTATTTTTAGTCTTGGGGCTATAGAACACTATTTTGTACTTTTAAATAACTTTAGGGTTTAGGATATTTGTGGAATAAATATGATAGCCTGTTGTAAAAACCAAAGTGACCAGAACAGCTTGGTTCTTTAATAAGCTACTTCAGTACATCTTTTTCAGAAATTAATAGATCTAGGAGTTTAAAAATACTAAAGACAATAGAATGATATTAATAAGACAATGTAATTCATTAAATTATTGCAGAATATTATATTTTGCAAATGGAGAATATTCATCCTTTTGTAAATACCATGTAAATTTGGTTATGTACATGGCCATAAAGAATATGTTAAAATTAAAAAGCTGTAAAGATTATACAGGTAATATTTCCTTGTCACAAATACATTACAGATAAATAATGAGAAGCCACTAAAATAACCTTAAGTACATAGAAATTAAATGTCGAAATAATCTCTGGGTAGAAAACTGAGTTGTAAAACCATTGTGAGATATTGAAATGGAGAACTTTTTAACAGTCTGTGGGATGCAGCTAAAAATGCACTCATAGGGAAATGTATTCCTTTATTGCCTTTATTCTTCAAGATGATTTTAAAAAATGAAACCAAGTTTTTTATTTGTAAATATCAGTAAAGGCCCTGGCTGGTTTGGCTCAGGGGCAGGAGTGTTGGCCCTGGTCAGGATGTGTGCGGGAGGCAACCAGTTGATGTGTCTTTCTCACATTGATGTCTCTCACCCTTTCTCTCTTTCCCCCTTCCTCCCTTCCTCCCTTTGACTCTCTCTCTAAAAAAAAAAAAAAAAATCAGTCAATTGAAAAAAAATACTCTTGGGTAAGGATTAACAACAGCTAAAAGATCAATAATGGGTAAACTCCTCCCAGGCCTAAGTAAAGAAGAAAATGAGACAGCACAATCTACAGGATTAAGAAACAGAAAAGATATTTATAAAACCACTGCTATGGAACAGATTGGAGGGGGTTTAAGAAATGTTACATGAATCTGTAGCAATAAATTTGATCATCTGAAGCAGAGATTGACAAACTTTTTTCTGTAAAAGTTCAGATAGTAAATATTTAGGCTTTGTAGGCAACAGAATATTATATGGACATTTATGTAACGAGAAATGTCTGCAGTTTCTTACTGATGAAATTTAAAAAGTAATTGTACAGTTGTTTTGTTTTGTTTTAAATGAAAGACTGCTAGTGAGAAGAATGGAATTCTTTTTCCTTTGGGATAATATTTCACTTGATTGGGGTTCAGAGTTAGTGTTCTCCATCATCAGATCAATTCTGAATGTTCATCTGTAAAAGCTATGCATAGTGCACAGGTCATCCAGATGGTGGGCAGATTTACCCAGGGCTGTGGTCTGTCTATCCCTGATCTAGAGGAAATGGATTATTTCCATACTATACATACCTTTCCGGAATTGACCCAAAGAGAAGTATAAAACATCCAGATCTGTATAACTCAGTTTCATAGAAGAGACTTGAAAAAGGGTAAAAGGTTTGCCCTTGGAGTACCAGGCCCAGATGTGTTAACAGCTGAGTTTAAAGGGCAGTTAATTCCAATACATCTTGAATTATTCCAGACCAAAGGGAAAGATGGAAACTTCTGTATTTTTTTCTAATGAAACACTAGGAAAATTTTAATAGCAAAGCCTAATAAGTTGTATAAAAGAACTATTGTGCCTCCTCACTAATATAAATGCAAAAAAAACCTTAAAATGTCAACAAATGAATGTACAGCATTTCTATAAGTAATGTATCATTATTAAATAGACAGTTGTACTTTAGCATCAAGAATTATCAACGTAAGACTTTTTAATAAACTTCAGTCATTGTAAATAAAAATCTGTAAATGAGGATTTTTTAAAATTGAATTTATTGAGGTGACATTGGTTAATGAAACAATACAGGTTTCAAGTCTATAACTTATCATCTGCACTCTGCATCATGTCCTCACCACCCAAAGTCAGTTTCTTTGTCCCCTTTGCCCACTTCTCCCTGCCTCCACCTTCCTTTACCTCTGATAATCACATACTGTTGTCCATATCTGTGTGTGTGTGTTTTAAGAAGAAAAAAACCCCCACATAGATACTATAAATGAGTTTTAATATAGGGTGACCCACTCTTACTGTTGTTATTTTATATTGAAATTTTTGTGATATATTTGTTATAAAGAGGAGGTAACATTATTTGTTGATAATGTGATTATGTATCTATTAGTTCAAATGACTCAAATACAAAAGAATAAAAGCCCTAATAGAATTAAGAATTTTGTTATGGTGGCTAGATATAAAAAAATGTAGAATTACTAAGATAGGCTCTATCCTAGTAATAATGCTAAAATTGGAAATGGGGGAAAAATTGAATTTACAATAGTGACCAAAAACTATAAAATACTTAAGACCAGATTTAAAAGGAAAGGCCTATTTAAAGAAACATAAACTTAATAATCTTATTTGTACTAGTTTTTTTGGGGCTGCTGAAACAAAGTACCACAAACTCATTGCCTTAAAGCAGCAGAAATTCATTGTCTCGCAGTTGTAGAGGGGAGAAGTCAGAAATCCCGGGATAGGCAGAGCCGTGCTCCCTGTGAAATCTGGGGGGGAGGAGTCCTGTGCCTCGTCCTGGCTGTGGTGGTTTGCTGACATCTTTGGCATTCCTTGGTTAGCAACTGCAGAACTCTGTCTGCGTTCGTCATCACATGGTGTTCTCTCTGTGTGTCACTGTGTCTTCACATGACCATTTTATGAGGACACCAGACGTATTTTACATCGGAAGCAACCCCATCTCCAAATAAAGTCACATTCTGAGGTACTGGAAGTTAGGACTTAGATGCATCTTTTGTGGGGCACACGATTCAACCTCTAACAATACTGAAGGACATAAAGATCTGAACTAACACAAAGATATACCATGGTTTTTGTTTTGCAGACTATTCTAAAAATGTCACTTCCAAATATGAGACTTACTAGTTTTATTTGCATGTGTGTTTTGTGTATGTGTTGGGGGAGCATTGGTGAACTATAGGTCATTTTAAAGTGTATGGAGAAAAATAAATGCCAGAGTCAACAACATGGATGGTAGAAATGTACTAGATCTAGTTTGAGTGTGGGTTACATGAGTATATACATTTGTCAGAAGCATCAAACTTGTACACTTGCTTTTTTTGTATTTTACTATATGTAAATTGTGTATTAATTTTAAAATAAAGATATAAGAAATACTAGAGAATAATAGAATGAAGATAATTATAATTAAGAATTCCTGGCTGCTTCCAGGGGTAAGGGACTTGACTATTACTGTTTGGAGACCAAACTGTTTTGATAGCTAAATTTTTTAAAATTGCTGTTAGGTCAATGTAGCTACACAATATGGAATTGGCATAGGAGCAGACAAATAGACAAATTTTTCAAGACCTTATGAGTTCAGAAATTAATCTGAATATATGAGAATTGACCACTTGAATACCTTACCAAGCAGATTATTTCATTAAAGGTTGTGACTCATTTATTGTGGGAAAATTTAGTATATTGTTAGAAGATTTGGATATATAATGGGAGCTAAATAAGGTTGCTTTCCCTATATGATTCCATATTCAGAAAGAAGTCATAAATGAACTCAAGATTTAAATGTTAAATTGTAGTAGAAAATTTTGAAGAATATTTGTTATAATCCAGTCATTTGAGGATAACTTCAAAGAAGCTAAGGAAACCCAACTGTAAAAGAAAGAGAGATTTGATCACATGACAGTTAAATGTTTTATATGTTCATGGTAATATCAGATTGTATATTTAGGGGAAAATATTTTTAACATAAAAGGCAGGAAGTGTGTTTCTGTTCAAACTACACAGTACTCATGAATTCATGGACAAGTCATAAAAATCAATTGCAAAAGAGGCAAAGAATAGGAAATAGTAAGAACAGAAAGGGAAATCCAAATTGCCAGTCAACATTTGAAAACATCTTGAGCCTTAGTAACATTTAAAGAAAAGCAGACTAAGTAAAAACATATCTTTTTCACAAATATGATTGGAAAGTTAAAACCTGATGCTGGATAATGGGTTCTCTAATGCATTGCTCATTTTTTTTTATTATCTCTACTTAAATAATGTATAAAATGCAAAGTCATCATAAAAGTTATAACCTTTTTTTAACTGAAGACGTCATGCTTCAACTGCTTTGTAATTTTATATAGAGTCCAAGGGATTTGTATAAGAAAAGGTTAAAAATGCCTTTTTATCTTTTCTTTGAGCACAAAGCTCAGAAAGATACAGTTGACTCAGTTCCTTTGAAATAAGTTGGTACGTGAAATCATATTAAAATAAAATATATAAAGTGCTTTTTGAAATTATTTATGGTCTAATAGATACCTTTTCTTTCTTCAAGTAACGTAATTTACATATTTTTAGATGTTACTGAATATTCTCTCCCCTACTTTTTAAGGTTCTTGCATTAGTCTTTATACGTAAACTCATGGATCTGTGTTTCACAAAACGAGAACTTAGTTGGCTTGATGATCTTATGCCAGAAAGTAAGAAAAAGAAAGAAGATGACAAAAAGAAAAAAGAGGAAGAGGTAAAAGCAAGAATTTTAAATTTACACCCATCACTTTTTTAGTATTTTGTACAAAGTAGCAGACACTATTACAGTCTTTTTATGGGAATCAACTCCTTTAATACCTCCGAATAAAGCATTATTAAGTGTAAGTACTTTATTTTCCCCCATTTACAAGTAAGGGAACTGAGGCAGAGAGAGGTTAGTAGGTAACTTGTCCCAAATATGTTTTTTAATTTTTTTTTTTTTTTTTTATCCTCACCCGAGGACATTTTTTCCATTTTTTGCTCAGGTAGAGTGGGAGGGAGAGAGAGGAACAGAGAGAGAGAGAGAAACATCGATGTGAAAGGGACACATCGAGTGGCTGCCACCCGCACAACCGACCAGGGCCGGGGACAAACTGCAACCGAGGTACGCGCCCTTAGCGGGAACCGAACCCGGGTCTCTCAGGACCGCAGGCCGACGCTCTAACCGCTGAGCCAAACCGGCCAGGGCCCAAATATGTTTTTTACCCATTTTACCAACTTGCTCCATTCATAGTCCTGACACAAAAATACTTTTTTAAAAAATTACATATTTGTATATTTAATAATCACCACTCAGAAGAATGTAGCAGTATGAAAACATAGGTAACACAGTAATTCTACATCATAGTCTACAATCTAATGTAGCCTGAAATGCAGAAGTATATTTTAGGTGCACTTTAATTTTAACAGTATTTTAATAACCTGGTATACATAATGACAAAAAGGACTTTTAAGTAAACATCTTTTGACAAAAAGTAAAATAAAACTTAAATCTGTGTGTTGACTTGTAACATGGAAGTTGATTTGAAATAATCTGGGAAAAGTGATCTCTGTGTGTCTTGCTCCAAAGGAAGCTGAGCGAATGCTTCAAGCTGAAGACGACACTGTGCACCTTCCATTTGAAGGGGGAAGTCTTCTGCAGATTCCTGTTAAGGCCCTAAAATACAGGTGAGATATCACTTTATCTTGTAAAATGTGTTTTACATACATGCCAATTGCATGGATAAGCTGTGTGATGCTTCTTTAAAATAGTGATAACCTATTTTTAAAAAGGCGATGAAACTTGCATCTGGCCCCCCAGCTACAGGAGGGCTTCATGCTTTTCTCTAGCTCCTTCCCCTCCCAGGGTATAGGCAGGAGTGAAGAAAAAGCGAGACTTGAACCGCAGCCTTTAATTTCTGTGCCAAGCAGATAAGATTTACTTGTCTTTCATCAGTGTTTCAATTTCAGTGAAGTTTCAGCCCAACACTCAAGTCTCTGAGTATTCCTGATCTTTCTGTAGCCCAGCTGGGATCTGTGTGCTGGGCAGTAAACATCTGTAATGCATTTTCTGATAACCTTCCAGTGTGCAACTCTATTTAGAGGCTCTTCGTCTCCAAAGGTGTGATTTGACCATAGGTAGTGAAGTTTCGTACTATGAAAAAATAATTAAGTTTTATATATCATTTGTCATGTATAATTTTGGTGATTTATATTTAAATTTAAGAACTTCAAGGTTGGGAAATGGAAACGTTTTTTGTAGTTTTGAAAGATTAGAAACCTACATTATTTATGCACACCTCTGATTCCTATTTCTACACATTTATTCCATTTTGATTAGCTATTTATAGTAGAAAAATCAGTTTTAGAGAGTATATAGGTTTCTTTTGTGACCAGTTAACTTAAAGCATTTCTTGGAATTTAATTAATTTGCTTCAACCTTTTTTTATTTTTAGCTAATCTTTATAGTTTTTACAGAGGTCACACTTGGACTTGTACATGTTGATTAGCATGATAAATGAGTTTATTAATTTTTCTCTATGCTTTTTACTATTAATTTTAAAAATTGTTATTTTTCTATGTTACCTTTCATGATTTTCCCTCAAATCTTTTTTTTTTTTTTTTTTTTTATCCTCACCCGAGGACATTTTTCCATTTTTTGTACAGATAGAGTGGGAGGGAGAGAGAGGAAGAGAGAGAGAGGGAAACATCGATGTGAAAGGGACACATCGAGTGGCTGCCACCCGCATGACCAACCAGGGCCGGGGACAAACTGCAACCGAGGTACATGCCCTTAGCGGGAACCGAACCTGGGTCTCTCCGGACCGCAGGTGGACGCTCCAACCGCTGAGCCAAACCGGCCAGGGCCCCTCAAATCTTTATATACTTTAAATGCTACATATAGACATCTTAATATATTCAACTACAGTGCTCTGCTTTGCTAGATTCTGTAAACATTTGTTAAATGAATTAATATGTTAACTTTGTTGGTTGTCTTCTAAAAGTTGTGGGAACTGCCCTGATGGGTATTAGTGACATTTACCAACTGGCGGAGATTTCTGTTGGTCCTACATGAGCACTTTCTGAGTGTGTTTATACATGGGCCTGGACACATGTAATTGCAGTTTGTACTTATACTGCCTGAATTTAACAAAAGAATGGATATCTGCATATTTGCTTTTATTTTTTAAGTGATGACATGAGCCATGATTAATGCTGCTTTGCTTAAAAATTAAACATCAAGAATGCTAGGAATTGGCTGACTTGTTATCTGCCAAAATTTAACATTTTAATTAGCTTTGGATTACTTGCCATGAAAATCAGTGAGATCATTGATGACAGCATTTGGAAACCGGAAAGCCCTATAAAATGTGAAAATAATTTAATGTGAGAAAAAGCTTTCCCACCTAGTTTTGGGGGAAAACAGAATATATACTTTCTTCAAAAAGGTCTTAATGTCTACTGATGGGAAAGTTCTTACTTAAGGGAGGTCATTTAGAAGTTAAAAGTGCTTCTAGAATTGTTCTCTTCAGTTATTAAAGTTGGCAACCATGCAAAGAAGTATTTACTCCGAGCAGGCACAGTTTGAAGTGTGTGGCTGTGCCATTGTGATTGTGGGCATTGAAATTTTGTGCACTTTTAAATGAAAGACCTGATGAAATAGCCATTTCTAGAGACTCTAAAATGATCATGTCCCACTTTTCTAGTCTTAAATTTTAAATGATATTTGGATTTGAAGAATAAACAAAGCTAGCACTCCCTAAATGATGGCTGTTTGGTCATTTATAACCTAGCTGCCATCACATTGTTAATTTAACATCTAACATGACATTTGTATTTGTCTCGTTTTTGCATGAAATGTTTTCTTTCCCGAAGATAGAGAGCTTGCAGATGTGTTTCTATTCATAGTTCTTTCATATTATTTGTGACTGACAACCTTGAGCCCATAATGATTTATGGATATCATCATTATTGGATTTGGGGTCTTGAAGTAAATTTTTTCAGTATTTCATAGAGATACTTGTTATTAATCATGAGATAACATTTTCTTTTGATTTTCATTTTGATTAACTTAATATAACCTTTGATACTAAACATGTGAATGCCAGCAAATATCAGTACTTATAAGTCTGTTTTTGTCTTATTTGTTGAGATATTTTTAGAGCTCTGTTTTCAATTTTATTTTTATTCTTTACGTTTTTGTCTGAAATAGTTAAATGCTTTAAAATTTTTTCTTTATTGATTTTAGAGAGAGATAGAAACATTGATGAGAGATAATATTGATTGGCCCCCTCCTGCACCCGCCCCCACCCCCGCCCCGACCTGGGCATTGGGCCTACAGCCTTGGCATGTGCCCTGGCCAGGAGTTGAACCAGCGACCTCTTGGTGCATGGGTTGCTGCTCAACCACTGAGCCACACTGGCCAGGCTCCGTTTTCAATTTTAAAGTGTCACCTTTCCCAGCATTCTTTTTAATGTGTTTAAGAGCATTAAAAAAACAAGGGTTGTTTTTTAAAACCGTAATGTTAATGTTTTCTTACCACTTCAGATAGTTATTTGATGAGATTGAATTTTGTGCCAGTTACAAAAATTTTCTAACTGACTTGAGGCAGTATTATTTCTTGCATTTATAAGCACATTAATATATTCTTTTATGTTATTTCAGTAGTATACCTATAGCCAAGATGATCATCTTTGGGCATCATTGCCAATTTTTAATTACTCTTACTCCTAGTTTTGATTATAAAGAAAGATGCGTTTCCTCATGAGACCTTTATCACAGAATTTTCCAGTATTCTGATATCTTGCTAGACCTTGGTTTATGTGCATGGCAAAGAGTTTTCTGTTTTAAGTTGATGAAAGCAAATATGATATAAGTAATAATAATGACATTATTAATGCTTTTGCAAGTACTGAATACTAACCAGAAAGTGTATTTGTTCTTCAGTGTCGATCCCTCAGTTGTTAACATATCAGATGAAATGGCCAAAACTGCACAGTGGAAGGCACTTGCCATGAATACCGAGAATGCCAAAGTAACCAGAGCTAACACGAGGTAGCTGTGATAATTCACCCGTTTTCTGTGGCCAGTGTTCAGTTTGCTTATGGATAGCTGTTCAATAAAACCGTTACGTTTAACTTCATTTACATAATTTATGTTCTCCTTACCTAAAACTGACTTTTTTTCTTCTTTTCCTACCTTTTTTCTTTCACCTATTAATCCATTATTTTTCTGGATGCTGGAATCAGATATAGATACTAATTGTTTTGTTTATTTTTTTAATATATTTTCTATTTCAAAAAATCAAAGCTATTGTATAATAAAGATGAATATATACTTATGGTAGTATGAAATACATATATAAAAGATCAGAAACCAAATAAAGAAAGATAACTACTAGGGATTAGATACATTCTATAATTGAGCACTCTACCTCAATCACCTTTCTGGACCAAGAAGAAAAGAAAAACAAGATTTTGTTTTGTTTTAACCTGTGATTTCTTTAGTTGAGGCAAATATTTTTCTTGAAGCTATTTGGAAGAAATTTAATCCATGGATATAAAAGCCATTCAATTTAATAATGTCCCATATATCATATAACTGTTTTATACCCCTTTTATTTCTTGTTATGTAACCCTTTTTTCTTCATTTCAAGGCCTGAACCTCAGGGGTTCCAGTTTGATAATCATTAGTACTTTAATCCCTTAGGTTTCTGGAGAAATGAGGTATAATCTTGTTGGGTACTCATTCATTTTCAACAAATATTTATTTTGTGTATGATTTGTGCCAGATACTATGTTGGGTGTCAATATGCTCAGTTTGGGCATCACATTAACATTTTTCCAGGCAAGCAGTCACGTAGCTGCTTCTGCTTAAGTTATCGTCTTTCTGGCCGTCAACTTTTGATGATAATTGATTAGTATTTTTTTAAAAATTCTTTCCCTACCTCCTTTTAGAACTTTGCTCCTACTTAATCTCTCTCTCTCTTTTTTATGTTATCATTTCTTGAGTTCTAATTTCTAAGCTAATGGTTTCTTTTATTCACTTCTGTTTTTTAAAAGTTTTGAGATTAAACTCTGTCATTTTGGGTTTTCATGCAGTGAGTATTTTACTATTAATCTTACTTTTAATTTTTCACCCCTTGTCAGCACTCCTGGCCCAGATTGTTGATATAGTTATATGTTTATGGTGTGTGTGTGTGTGTGTATCTGCCTTATAGTAATATTACAGTATTGTTATACTTCTATCATTTAGATTATCCCTCAATTCAAAATCAAATGGGAAGGAAGAGAACCTTTGGGTTATTTTGTTCAACAGAAAAATGTTGGGAGTGGGGGTTCCTTGCTTCAGTTTTGTCTGGAGAATGCAGCAAAGCATTGTGTGTCTTTATATTTTTGAAAAATTTTCAAATTCTAGATATATTCATGTGTTATAATTGTCAGTTCATTAAATTCATATACATGGGATTTTATATTAATGTTTAAAAATTTAGAATATGTGTTTTAATCTTATATTTGTAAACCAAATTTGGGAGAGAAGGTTTATAAATTTGTTACATTTTTTTAAGGAGATCTATTTGATGCTTACCTATGTTAATAAAGATTAATTTTTAATGGATTTGTCAGTGCAATAAAAGTACAGGGCTATAACTGTTTATATGTAAAGTAAAATTAATAAATCAAACAGTCATATACTGAATAATTTAAAGAGTTTCTCTTCAGCTGTAAGAAAAACATGATTTCAGTGGGAAAAATATTTTAAAAACTAAGAATTTTAATATTTAACTCTCTTAAGTTCATTGATAGAAAAAGCAGTAAAATAATAATAGCAAGACATTTATATTATTAATAGTTATCTGAAAGGCTTACTGTGAATACTTATTGTTGGCCATGTTTATAATGTAATATCTATTTGTTTCAAAATCATTTTTTCTCATTCTTTGTTTTAAATAGCCCTGAAAAACCTGTGAGTGTGAAAATAAATATTGAAGATGAACCAACAAAGAAATACATGGATGCTGAAACTTCATTATAGAATTGAACCAAGAGGAATTATATATAGATACACAAATACATATACATATGTGTGTGTGTGTGTATATGTATGTATATAATATGTGTATTTCATGTCACAATACATAACGATATTGTATGTCATGCTATTTGTGCGTGACCACCGGGTTTTTAGAGTGGTGTCTGAGCGCCATGGAGACTGTAGATAATGAAATGGTCTTTTAGCAGGGAGGTGTATGGCTCTTACTATTCAAGTATTTATTCTGTCGAAAAATTTTTTTCTGTTCTGCAATTGAAACATGTGGGGAAATGTATTCAGTGTACATTTATTTAAATCTTTGTTTATCAGTGACAATTCATAACAACCTTAATACTTTGTCCATATATTTATAATTTTAACTTGAGTTACACATATTTCACTTCATTAGTGCTTTATGGGAAGAACCAGGGAGTTGTTATGCCGATGCTGTGAGACAAACAGTAACATGTCATGGCTTCTCTGTGTATGTTTCATTTATGTCGATGTCCATCATGTTTCACAAGCGATGGAATTTTTTAACTATAGAGGTAGGACAATGGAAACTTTCTAGATAAGTACTATAGTTTTGACCTTTTTGTTTTAAAATTTATTTTAAATCTTAAAACCTCCACATCTAGGTTTTCATTCAGATAGACAAGTAAAATCACAGATGTTAAACCCCCATCCCAGTCATAAATTTATGAATTTTAGAAGCTATGAAATGCCAGTTATAATAGTTAACTTTTGTTGCCTTTGTAGACAATATTTTTCTGAATTCTAAGACTTTATTAGAGCCCAGAATGCTCATTCTGTTCTCTGCCTTTGCTGTCTTTTACTTAAATGTGGTTTAGTTTATATCAGGTTCAAGGTTTTGATTATTTTTCTATTATAAGTAGAACGATGAAATAATCAGGAGTCAGAATTCTCTTAAGTGGGTTTATGATCAGTATTACTTTATTCTAGTAAGAATTGCCTTTCATTTTTCTGTTTACATTGTCTTTCTGTTGTATAGATAATATTTAATAGATTGTTATCTGTGATTTCATTTCTAAATATTTTATTTATTTTAATTGATATGTTGCTTAAAGATTATACAAACATTTGAAAGGTAACAAATATAGTTAATGTAAAAAATTGTTAATGTAAATAGTTGGTGCTCATTTGCATTTACAGTTTATTATCTGAAAGCAGTTGACAGATTTTACATCTTTATATAAAGCACTGCCATATTTGTATTTTAAAAGGAATTTAGAAATTTTATGTATAGCTCAGATTGATGGAGTTCTTTCTGTTTTGTGTTAGTATTTGTTACTTAGTTTTTGCTTTTCTGAGCTGTCTTTAACTTCTAGCAAGTCTTTTTAGTCATCTTTTATATACTCTTAGCTCCACATGAAATAAATAAATATTGTTCTTGTTAAGCCTGTAGGACTGGATGAATGGGGTTGTGAAACTAATTTGGCAAGAGGATCGTTTAATGAAAATGAAATGACTGTTGAGAAGCCACGGAAATATTGAAAATAGTGACATGAAAATTAGGATGAAAATATTAATGAAATTACAATGCTCCCTTTAATCATTTGTAATTAAAGTACAAAACAGTGAAGAATGATCTTACAGAGGATCATGAGAAATGCCAAAAGCTGATATTTTAGCAATTCTGAATGTTTTTAATCCATTCTAAAATACTAACTCATGTAGTTTACAATCTGAGACCGTATTATCAGATTGTAGTTAAAATAACAGATTTAACTTATGCCTCAGATAGGAACTTGCAAATATAGCCACTTTTAAGTAGAAAATAGAGCTGGCATCCTTTGGTACTGCCTTAAAAAGAGTTAGACTCTATTGGCAATTGATAATAGAGAACTTATTACCCACGGTGCTTGTTATTGTTTTTGTGCTTCCAGTGAAGTGATTCCTTTGTATTCATAGCAGCATAATCATTTCCAAAGACCCTCGTGTTTGCTGCTACATTTTGTAAACTCCCCTGATGTACCTGAACAGGAGGATTTCCTCATATAATTTCCTGATGTCTGGACATCATAGGGTTAACAAATACGCTTATTTTATAGGAAGTGATTTAAAAATGTAAACTGAAAACTACCTGGGATCATAGTGTTTCTGTGATTTTATTTAATTATGTACAGTGATTATCCAGTGCCAGAGAGACCATGACTTGCAAAATACTTTGCACTCAAAATGTCTTTAGTATGTTTCTAATTTGTTAATGGTTTCTGCTTTCTTCTGACTACTTGACTTAGAAAGTGATTTGATATGACTACTCCATTGAAGAGCAAAGGTAACTCATGTTTAAGTAATTGACTGCTTGTTTTATGTGGTTATGATAATCCACTATTTTTGGAAAATAACAATCATGGATAGCAGTTCATTGCAAGACAGTGAAAAATACAATTTACTACATATATTGATTATTAAATGTTGCCTTAAATAGGTGGAAATGAGCAGTGGTAATTGCTGTGTACTGATTTACCTCAAGGTGCAAAATAATTAAACTTGTACATATTCCATTTACAAAATAAATTCATATACACAGCCCTGCACTTTCTTAGATGCCTTGGTTTCTAGGATGGAGCTTAGTGCTACTGAATACCCTGGCCCAGAGCCACCTCAGGATATTCTCTCCACCCTATTTTATTTATTGATGGATGTCTGCTTACAAAGACTATAATGAATCCTGATGTTGACCATCTGAAATTTCCCTGTTTTGATTGCTATTTCACTCTACAATAGCAGCTTTTGAGAAAACAGTGAACTAACTTCCTTATGATAAAAGGATGATTCTTTATATTCTCTAGTATGAGATATGCTGAGTGAAGCACATGATCTTTCTAATGGGTGTGTGTGTGTGTGTGTGTGTGTGTGTGTGTGTAAATGATTTATCAAACCTTTAATCTCTTAATTGTTTTAAAAAACTGTGGCGTATCAATGTTCACATTTGCCAAGTCTTCTGTAAAACACATAGGACAATTTTTTCTTTATGTCCTAATGCATGTATTTATAAAGCAGATTTCTTTACCACTCAAGATTAACTTTTGTTTTTGTTTTTTTTATCCAAAAACATTTCTTTCTTTTTTTCCCCCCACATACTTAAAATTTATGTATATGTATATAATAGCTTTCTCAACTTTTTCCTTTTACAAAGACAGGTTCAAAATTCTGTAAAAAGAAAAATGGTTTCTGAATCTATGAGGTCTGACACCAGGGCTTGCTGTCTCTCAAGGATTATATCATGTACATCAGTTCTGTAAATGTGCTCAAAAGTTTTACATGTGAATCCTGTTTCACAGTGCTCAGATTTCAGATATGTAAGCCATTGATGCAACATTGTAATTCAGAAATGTTTAATTTAATGTTTTAAATTTATTTATGTAGATCACATTGTTGTTATTGTGTGCAGACAAATATGTGAAATGTCTTTTGGATTAGTCCGACAATTATTTATTTTTCAGAAAGTAAACTTAAAAACTTCAAAGACATTCAAAATGTAAAATAGTGTTCAGAATTACAAATTTGGCAATTTAATGCAAAGTTGTTTTTTTTTAACCTTTCAAAAAGTAATATAAGTATGAATAATAGGAAAACATATATTTGGAAATGGAATCATCTAAATATCATTTAAAAATTTTAATTTATCAGCACATATTGACTTCTATTTTTGACTTAGAGTAATTGTTAAACTAGTTGTTTTTTAAATCAGAATTTTGTGCATTGATTACTTTTTGTGTTTTGGCTTTTTTTTTGTTGCTTTAATATTGCAACGTTTTTGTTGTTGTTCTGTAGAGGGGGTTATCATCCAGTGTTTACTGTGTTTAAATAAGTAGAAATTGAATTTTATTGTTCATTTATGTAATACTTGATAGCTTGGTATAATTTCACAGTACAGTTCTAATTTTTATGACTTTTATAATTACGATGATAATATTTTCTTTTGTAATAAAATCCAAAGTAAATTAAACATCTAAAATGTAGAACTGATATTTTTCATTTATATGAAGTACAAGTCTCTACCAAGTCTATAATGTGAATGATCCTGCCTTTTAAATTTGTTTTATAATTGTTAGAAGAAAACTATTTTTTGGAGATGTTATTGAAGTTGAAAGAGCAATAAAAGTCTACTGAATTAGTTGTTGGATAGTCTTTACTTTGTACTTTGATTGTTAGAAGAGCTGCATATTCTTTCTCATGAGGAGAGATGGGGGTGAAGAAATATAAGTGATTTCTGTTTCCTGCCTCCTAATTTTCACATGCTTCAGTGAGTGAGTGAGAGAGAGAGAGAGAAAGAGAGAGAGAGAGAGAGAGAGAGAGAAGAAGATGAAACAAAATAGCGTGTATTCACAATGACTTTTTGATAGTTAAGAAATTAAAGCCCTTTAAGATAGGCCGGCCTATATAATTTTTCCTATTTTAAGACACATCTATTTAGGGTATTTGCAATGTGATGTACAGTGAGCACACATCATATTATATATATGTAAATGACCATGTTAATAGGATCTCTTATAAACTCAAGGCTTGTTTTCTTGATTTGTTTTTAATGGCTAATTTTATGAATTATAAAAAATAATAGCAAATGACAGGATTTGGTTTGTTTTCCATTTGACATGGTTATAACATCTCCCCGTTATCTGCCTTAAAAGATGATATCCCACCATGAATTCAGCAACCTTTGGGGAGTGAGATGGGAAAAGGGCTTATGGCTTTGGAAATTTCATTTGAAGGTTTTACTTACATTTATTTTAGGAAAAATGTTTTTGTTACTATTTCCACCTACAAGGCTTTGAGAGTTTTTGTTGTTGTTGTTTTAACGGAGGAGGGTGGAAAGATGAAATAGTTTCTTACTCATTAAAAAAATTTTTTTTTCTTTATTGATTTTAGAGAGAAGGGAAGGAAGAGGGAGAGAGAAAAACAACAATGAGAATTTTGATTGGCTGCCTCCTGCATGCCCCCCACTGGGGATCAGGCCCACAACCTGGGCATGTGCCCTGACTGGTGACCTCTTGCTTGGTGCATGGGTCGACGCTCAACCACTGAGCCACATCGGCTGGACTCTTACTCATTTTTTTTTTGTTGGATTTTGCTCATTAAGGCATATCTGATCTCTTGAGTTTTCTTTCTATGGTTGATTTTTGACATTTCTTCCTCTGTGCTTTAAATGAAAACATTCCTGTTTGGAAAACCATCCTTTGTGTTTATTCAAAGCTCAGTTTAAGCTCTGCTTGTTCTTCAAATTGAACTGAGCCTTTCTCTGGTCAGTCTACAAGATCATTCTCATCCTTCTGCTGAAAATGTGTGTTTTCATACCCTTGTTTTTGGTCCTAGACACGTGGTTTGGGGGTATTTTAGAAATTTCGGGAAGTGTTTGTTTGCCTTCTTGTTAAGGTGATCCTGAATATCTATTTTAATACCTATTTAAGTTACTTTAATCCTTTTTTTAAAAAAGATTTTTTTTATTATTGGTTTGAGAGAGAAACACCAATAGGCTTCCTCCTGCATACCTCCACCCTGAGGATGAAGCCTGCAACCTGGGCATGTGGCCACACCAGGAATCAAACCAGCAATCTCTTGGTTCATGGGATGATGCTCAACCAACTGAGCCACACTGGCAGGTGCTGATTTGTTTTTTATGTTATAGTTATACTGTTTTACTTTTGAACTATGTAATTTACATTATCTGTGAAATCATTCAGGATAGGGTAAAGGGTATTAAAAACCATAAAAGGGATGTTAAGTCTTAGAGGTTTGTGCCCTACCACATACGCCATAAGCATGACCTTTCGGAGGTCATTGTACTTTATCAGGTTACAGAGCACGCTGAACTCTTAACCAGGTGGAGATGACAGTGCACCTCTCCTCCAAAAGCCAGTCTTCATGCCTCTCAATCTTCTACACAACTCTGTTATATTTAGGGAAGGCCAAAACCTTAGTTCAGTATTGTGTTGAGGAGGAG